CTATCCAGAGGTAAGGAGGTTTATCCTTGGAGTAGTTCTTTCTTGATGATCTTCTTTCTGCTTGGTCATACGCATCCCATTCTTCATATGTGTCCATGGCAGGGTCCGGACGGTCTGCATCAAAACACTGTCTCTCAAATTCTTCTTCATCCTCTAACTGTTCACCCACTGTTTCTTCTTGATCTCTGTGAGTCTCTTCACCACCAGCTTCAGCAGCTGCTTCTGTACCATTGTGAACTTCTGCAAAGAAAGCTTCAAACCTAGGATCATCGTGCACACGTTCTTCTACTGGATCTTCCCCTTCATCTGGTACACCTTGTGGCTCTGCATTTGTTTCTTGTGCAGCCTCGTCAACACATTCTTCATTCCCGTCTACAGAATCTGCACCATCATCACCTGCTACTTCTTCCTCATCTTCTACATCAAGATGAAATGTAGGTTCACAGACGCCGGAGTCAATGTATATGTCGACTTCACCACCAACCACAGCCTCACGACACAACTCCCTAATTCCACCATCTTTATATGTCTTGATAACCCTTGCTGAACTTATGTCCTCATGCGGAAGCTTGTACCAAATCGCTTCGACTTCACCACTCACTCCCTTTTCTTTAAAAAAATCCTCGAAGATTGACCATGTCATCAGATCAGGATCCATCAACATGTCTTTATCCTCGAACCCTCCAATGTAATCGAACGACTGCTCCTTGATTGATACATCTCCTCGGTAGTGAATGTTGAGTTTCAAACACTCGAAATCACTACAAAATAAGAAATTCAGTTGTTAATCGTTGTAAACAAAGTAAAACAATATCGATCCAACCCAAACCCAGAAAGTTTTTGAAATCGGATAACCCTAGAAATTCTAATCGACAGAGAAAAAACGCGAATCGACATACCTCATCTCTTCGATATACAATCCACTGACTCAACACATATGCAACCGATCAAACGCTTCCAATCATCGCCTCACTGAATTTCTTAGGAGATGAAACGAAGGAGAGAATCGAGAGAGTTAGAGAATTAGGGTTTCTGATTTTTAGGGTTCATCGATTTCGATTTGGGGGAAAGTAACGAGGGCACTGTAGTCTTTTAATTACGCCAATAAACCACGTTTTCTTAACCAGTAAACCCGGTTTAGGGATTCCGTCAGCCGATTAAACGTCTGTTAAGTCGAATAACTTAAACGACCATCAGTAATAAGTTTACGATTTAATTGACAACAATTAATTAACTAAGGTATTTTTAGACCAACGCAAAAGAATTGGGCATTAAACTTCCAAATAAAAATTACTTGGGGTTTTTTTTGGGAATTTTCCCTTTTGTAAATTGTATCTCCTTATAAAATATTTCTTTATATTATAGTTTACAATTATTATTAAGTAACGGTATATCACAAGACAATTGTTAATAAACTGAAGATTTAATCCGTACTAAAGTTGCATGTTAATGATATTTATAAATAGGGGCTTTTGCAAAAATGCCACTTTTTCAATGCCACTTTTCAAAAATACCCTTTTTAAAAAACTTTACAAAAAATGCTCTTAAAATTATAAGATTTACCCAAATATGTATGTAATATTATTAAAACATACACAAACTACATTTTTATGTATCTAAAATCTTATAAATACTTTATAAATACTTTATAAATACATTTTAAATACCTTTAAAAACCTTTAAAATATCTTGTAAAACCTTTGAAAAACCTTAAAAATCCTTTAAAATAACTTGTAAAACCTTTAAAAACACCTTATAAAACCTTATAAATACTTGGATCGAGTCTTCAAGTAGTAGTTACAATCCATAAGTACCTTATAAACCTAATAAAACTTTATAAAAATTTCAGATTTAAAAAGGGGCATTTTCGAAAATAGACATCTAAAAGGGACATTTTTGAAACGCGGCACACCAAAAGGGGTATTTCCCTTATAATTTCCCTTATAAATCTTGATTCAAATTCGTCCGTCATATAAACCAATTCCAAAATATAACCCGTTCCGTAATTTTTTAACCCGTTCCGTGATTTGTTTTTATTATAAAATTTAATAATTATTTATTATATATAAAAGTTTACAAATCATATCATTCTCTAAATCATTTATATTTTAATAAACTGAAGATTTAATCAGTATTAAAGCGGCATGTTAATGATATTTTAAAATTTAATAAATTTTGATTCAAACTCTTTCACCATATACGTTCCGAAATATAACATGTCTTGTAACTTCTTAAACCCTCCCGTGATTTGTTTTCTAAAAGTACTGATTTTTAAAATTTAACGATTATTTATTATATATAAAATTTTGCAAATTGTATAATTTTCTAAGATATTTATATTTTATAGTTTACAATTGTTATTAAGTAACATTATACCACGAGACAATTTTTGGTTTTATACGATCTTTTCTAAATGAGATTCATTTAATATGTCTAATATTGGTGGTATTAAAAAAATAAGAATTTAATCCGTATTGAAGCGGCGGATTAATGATATTTTAATCTTTTTATTATTGTTAATTCAAAAACCCGTCTCGTCAAACTCGTCTGGCCAAAAAACTCATTTATTTTATTAATGTTGATCTTATTTATGATATGATTCTGAATCATTGTCTAAATATTTTAATCCATGTAGAACGTTGAACACACATTTTCTTCAATTGGATAATATATGTCCGTTTTTAAAATTTCGAATCACAATATATGCAGAAAAAATTGATTTTTTTCTATTTTATGTATTATATGATGATTCAAAACAGTTAAAAATAAATCAAACAAAGATGATAGAAGAATCATAATTCTAAATCTTAATCAAATCTTCTAAATATCTAAATTATTAAATATAAAATATCTGGTGTATGAGTTGGGTTAAATATAATCCCATCCAGCAAATTTTTTATGACCAAAATTTGTAAACGGATCGGATATCTAAAGTATCCGAAAACAATTTTATCCATCCAACTCAAAAGTGACTGCAAAAATACTAGTATAAACTAGATTTTAACCCGCGGTACACCGCATGATGATTTAATTTTAAAGTTAGTATAAAAATATTTTGTAAATTGTATCTCCTTATAACATATTTATTTATATTGTAGTTTATAATTGTTATTAAGTAATGGTATACCACGAGTCCACGAGACAATTATTAATAAACGGAGGATTTAACCCGTATTAAAGCGGTATATAAATATTGATCATTCAAATTCGTCCGCCATATAAATCTTTTCCGAAATATAACCTGTTCAGTAATTTCTTAATCCGTCCCGTAATTTATTTTTATTTTAAAATTTAATGATTATTTATTATATATAAAAATTTACAAATCATATCATCCTCTAAGACCACGGGACATTATACCACATGACAATTTTTGGTTTTATACAATATTTTCTAAATGAGACTGATTTAATATGTCTAAAATTAGTGGTATTAAAAAAAAAGATTTAATCCGTATTGAAGCGACGGATTAATGATATTTTAATCTTTTTATTATTGTTGATTCAAAAACCCGTCCCGCCAAACCCGTCCGGCAAAAAAACTCATTTATTTTATTAATGTTCTTATTTATGATATGATTCTGAATCATTGTCTAAATATTTTAATCGATGTAGAACGTTGAACACACATTTTCGTCAATTGGATAATATATGTCCGTTTTCAAAATTTTTTTTTTTACTTTATGTATTATATGATGATTCAAAACAGTTAAAAACAAATCAAACAAAGATGATAGGAGAATCATAATTATAAATCTTAATCAATCTCTAAATATCTAAATTATTAAATATGAAATATCCGGTGTATGAGTTGGGTTAAATATAACCCGACCCAACAAATTTTTTGTGAAGGATTTTAAAAATGGATCGGGTATCCGATATATCCGAAAACATTTTTATCCACCCGTCACCAAAGTATTGCAAAAATACTAGTATAGATATTGTATAATGTATTAACCTAAGATGATAAAAGAAGTTTCGAATTATTAAGGACTATCAAATACAGCCCTTTCTTTTTGCCCATTTCTATTAAAAAATTAGAGCTTTTTTTTCGTCTATTAAAAATTAAAAATTAATTACTTTACTTTAATTTTTTTTTTATTTTTTTAACATCTTATTCTACTTGATCCAATAAACTATATTATTTGCACACATTTTCATTATTTTATGTCTTGTTACTTTATATTGACATGATGATTGATAGCGAGTTAGCCACCTCTCAAAAGTATCATCATTGCATCATTTATTAGCTAACTATGTAATAGAAGATTAATATGTATGTTTTACAAAAAATATTATTATTACTCACTCAATAAACAAAAATAATGTGATAAAAATTATAATTGTCAAAGTAGATGAGCATGTAAAGTATCTATCATCAAAATCAAAATACCAATCTCTTTTGATCAAATAATGTTCTTAATTTTTTTTTTTGGTTAATGATGGTTTAAAAACTTACATGCATAATATCATACTCCCTCCGTTTCATAAAAAGTGTCGTTTTAAGGTTTTATTTTTGTTTCACAAAGAGTGTCGTTTTAGGTTTTCAATGCAAAATTTAATGATTTTTTATGTTTTATGACTATTAGTATTCTGCAGATTGTTTTACTATTGGGCAGATTATGTTTAGGTATATAGTTAATGATGTTTTTGTTTAGAAAAAACAAAAAATTTAATGTTTTCTTAATTTGTGTGCAAAACTCTAAAATGACACTCTTTGTGACACATTAATAATATTATTTGATGTATTTAATATAAATATTTGCTATAAAAATTTTTGAAGATATATGGAAAGATTGTGTAGAGATTTTTAGAAACAAATTAGGCGAGATATTGTTTGGTTAATATCTTTTATTTAAATTTTGTAAAAGTAATAATAAATGCCAATGGCATTCTTTGTAAATACTGCCGAACCCCATGATTTATTTGCTAAAAGTGTTTCAAAAATGTATATATATTTATTTAATTTTATTTTGATCAGCATATATAAAGCCTAAGTAAATATTTTTATTTTAAGTTTTACACATTTCAGTTAAATAACATTAATGCAAAGTCAGCATTTTAGAGTGAAGCAGGACATGAGAAATAACTTGCTTGTTTTTGGTATAGTCTCCACCCTCCAGTCTCCACCATCTTGTTGCTCTGTCTATTCTTAAAAAAATTGCATCTTTCTTTTCCATTCAAAGCAACTGATCCGTCGTCAAAATCCCTAATTTTGCTTCTTCTCCGTCGTCTTCAGAGATGGAGAAAGCATCTTCTTCATCACTCACTGAGAATCTTCTCATTGAAGAGAGAGAAGAAGTCATGGTCACTGAGAAAGGTCACACCTTGAGCAAAACCCATTTCTTAAAACCCTTTGTTACCTCCATTGATGACTCTGTAGCTGAGCTTCCTCGTCATGGTCAACGTCTCCTTGCTTCTTCTCTGGAACTAGAACGCTTATCTTCTCGGATTTCCTTCTCTGGGTTTTGGGTTGCAGAGTGTCTTTTCTTATCATGGCTTAGAAAAATGGAAGCTTTACACGCACACACTTGGAAAAAATCTGGGATCTTTGAAGCAATCAAGGTATCTACTTACAGTATCACTAAAAACCAGCCTTTGATTCTCTCCATTGCTGAGAAATGGTGTCATGAAACCAAATCTTTCGTCTTTCCTTGGGGTGAAGCAACGGTAACCTTAGAGGATGTAATGGTGCTTCTAGGGTTTTCCGTTTTGGGTTCTCCGGTCTTTTCCTCTTTAGAAAGCTCGGAGATAAGAGATTCCGTGAAGAAACTGCAAAAAGCTAGACTAGAGAACAGGTGCAAGGACGGGCGCGTGACTGAATTACAGTGGATTTTGAGTTTCAGAAACAGAGATGATTCGTTAGAGCATGAAGCCTTTCTTGCTTTGTGGCTTTCACATTTTGTTTTCCCTAATAAGAATCATCGTTCTATAACTATGAAGAATCTCCCAATTGCTGTTCGTTTAGCTAGAGGAGAAAGGATTGCTCTTGCCACTCCTGTTCTCGCAAACATATACAAAGATTTGGGTGAAATTTCGAGAGGTAAGTCCACTACTAAATATCTTAATCTACAGTCTCTGTTCAAGTTAGTTCAACTTTGGATATGGGAGAGATTTGAGAACTTGAGACCAGAAGCTAAAGAGATACCTAATGGTGAGCCTAGAATTTCTCGGTGGGACGGTCTGCAACAGAAAACTGCGAATGTGAGATTGATTTTCGATGATTTCGAGTGGCGTCCATACACTAAAGCTTTGAAGAACTGGAACCCTCTTAAGTTTTATGTTGAAGAAGCTATGTGGGTGAATGTTGATGACAAACTTGAAGATGAGTTTGTTTCGTTTGCTCGGTGTGTGAGGAGTTCTAAACTTGTTGGTATTGGTTTTGTAGAAGATTACTATCCTAATCGTGTTGCAATGCAATTCGGGCTTGCTCAAGATCTTCCTGGTTTTGTTACTAATCACAGAAACTTCACAGAAAAAGAAGCTTGGGATGATTACAACAAGTCTCTTGATGGTTTGAAGCTGTACATTCCTTCTCGTCTCGCTGCAACTTCTGTTACTGCAAGATACCAAGACTGGTGGCTGAAATCAGTTTCAGAGTTTCTGGATTCCTCGAAGTCAACTGAAACTTTTAATTTAAGTAATACTGTTGATGATGATGATACTGTATCTCCTAAGGTACTTCCCTTGAGTCAAGTTCTTCGGAGATTAGGACGGGGGTTTCCTGAAAATCTCAAAAGATGTAGGTCACTTAGAATAGGTAGAAATCTGAGGTGTGAGATGGAGAAAGACAAGAATGGTGATGGTGATGGATCAACTTCAACAGAACTGCCACGTAGTCGTTTGTTTCAGAAGGAATTAGTGAATGAGACAAGTGAGAATCTGAGAATCAAGCTAGCTCCTGAGGATGATGAGAATTGTGATGATGACATTACCGTTGCTCAGAGGATCAAATCTAGAGAGAAAATTGAAAGAAGTTCTGCTGAACCACTTGGAAAAAGAATTAGACTTGAGGAGGATAACAATGATTCAAGGATTTGTCAAAAGCTTGCTTCTGGAGATTATCAACCTGTAGCACCACAAGAAACAGAGCAAAGGAGTGAAGAGAATGGTGAAGAAGAAGCTGGAAGCAAATCAGGGAAGAATACGGTTCTACACACAGTTGATGAAAACGACTCTTCAGTTGGTGAAGGTGATGCTGGTAATGACTCCTATACAAAGAAATTTCAAGAGCTCAAGGTTCAGGCATTATTGCTCAAGCAGCGTATTATCGAGGCACAGAAAACTGTGGCATGGTTGAAAGAAAGCAGAGCCATAAAACAGGGAAATTTAGCAGCAGCAGCTCGTTGGATCTGACCTCTAGGCATGTTAGATGTTGTTTTGGGTAGTCAAACGCAAGTAGAATAATCTAAGATCAATCTAACCTGTGTATTGTCTAACATGTGAAATAAATCATACACAAACCAAGAAAATTGGATGTATTGAAGAGATTCGTGGTCACAACAGGAACTAAAATCACAGAGACACAGAAACCATGTTCGCTTAGGGGACCAAGATTAACTAAACCCTTTTAGAGCGATTTCTAAATGGACAAATTCAACACCTTAGCCCAACAGTGGAGCCAGGGCTGGGCACAAGTACTCGTTACTCGTCCCGTACCCGTTATTTGCCTCGTACTCGCCTTGAAAAAACAAGTACCCGTTGTTGTCAAGGCAAGTATCAAGTAGTATAATTTAGATACTTGTAAGTACAAGCCAAACAACAAGTAGTGGAAAAAAAATTAATATTCGGCTTGTTTGACCCGTTACTCGTTATTATTTTACCATTTTATATACATATATTTCATATAATATTAGTTTTAAGAACATATTTAAAAGTTACATCAAAAGTAAAGTAAAATTTAAATATGTAAAAATTTTGAAAGTGTTACTTGCAAGTAATTCGTAAATACTTGCAAGTAACTCGCAAATAGCAAATAATAAGGCAAGGCAAGTAACTCGCAAGTCACTCATTTTTTTAGCAAGTACTCGAAATTACAAGTACTCGTTTTCAACAAGCCAAGCACAAGTACTAATTTTTATTACTCGTACAAGGCAAGCCAAGTAATAAGTATCCCTAAAATATATGCTTTTCCATTAAAGACCAGAGTATTGAAGCAGAGTATATCATTTCTAAACATAGCGTCAATAATTGATTTAGAAAAAAAAAAATTTGTCTGTTAACTGCATGTATAGGTTAATTTATCAATATGTATTCGACTTGAGCTAAATTAATTTGACGCTAATTTCTACTTTGACCAACCTGCTTATATATATGAATGATACATAAGTTTCTAACTAGACCTAGCTGAATCTAAAACCAGAGCTACCGAATTGATTTTTCCCTAAAAATTCAAATTATGTAAATGATTTTTCGTCAATTGTGTACATAGTTAGTTGATCCAAACTTTAGCATTATTGTACAGTCAGCATTTGGAACTTTGTTTTGTTTACCATAAAAAGCAAAAGGTTCGGTACATTTTGCTCTGCCCATCTTCAACAAAAATTGCACCTTTCTTAGCAAAAACTGATTCTTCGTCAAGTCTCTGATTTTGACTTTCAAAATCCCTAGTTTTTCCTGAATCCCTTGCTTCTTCATCATCTTGAGAGATGGAGGACGCATCGCCATCGTCGAATCTTCTCATTGAAGAGAGAGAAGAAGTAATGGTGTGTGAGAAAGGCCGTTGCTTGAGAAAAACCCATTTCTTAAAACCCTTTGTTACCTCCATCAATGGAGGCTCTGTGGCTGAGCTTCCTCGCCGTGAAGAACCTCTCTATGTTTCTTCTTCGCAGTTACTAAAGCTCTTCTCTTTGCGGAATACTTTCTCTGGGTTTTGGGCTGCAGAGGCTCATTTCGTATCTTGGCTTGCAAAAATGGAAGCTTTACACGCACAAACATGGAGAAAAGCTGGGATTTTTGAAGCAATCAAGGCATCTACTTACAGTATCACTAAAAACCCGTCTCTGATTCACTCTGTTTCTGAGAAATGGTGTCCTCAAACCAAATCATTTGTCTTCCCTTGGGGTGAAGCAACTATAACTTTAGAGGATGTAATGGTGCTTCTAGGGTTTTCCGTTTTGGGCTCTCCCGTCTTTGCCCCTTTAGAAAGCTCGGAGATGAGAGATTCGGTAAAGAAACTGGATAAAGTAAGAATCCAGCATATGCATAGCGGTGGAGATTCTAGCATGGGCCAAGCATCATGGATATCGATCTTCTTGGGTAGTGGTAGTGAGATGGAGCATGAAGCTTTTCTGGTATTGTGGCTTTCGTTTTTCGTTTTTCCAGTTAGATGTCGTCGTGGTATTTTGAAGCATGTTTTCCCAATAGCTGTTCGTTTAGCTAGAGGGGAAAAGATTGCTCTTGCCCCTGCTGTTCTCGCAAACATATACAGAGATTTGGATCGAATCCATGAGGTAGCTAGAGAAGATTGTGGTGGTAAACTCAATCTGAAATCTTTGTTTAAGTTAGTCCAAGTTTGGACATGGGAAAGATTCAGGAACATAAGACCAAAAGCCAGAGACATTCCCAAAGGTGAACCTAGAATAGCTCAGTGGGATGGTTTGCATCAAAGATCTAAGGATGTGCGATTCTGTTTTGATGATTTTGACTGGCGTCCTTACTCTAAACCACTAAAGAACTGGAACCCACTTCGGTTTTACCTTGAGGAAGCTATTTGGGTGACTGTTGATGAGAGTATTGATGATGAGTTTGCTTCTTTTGCTCGGTGTGTGACAGTTTCTCAGATTGTTGGAGATGGTTTTGTAGAGGATTACTTCCCAAATAGAGTGGCCAGACAGTTCGGTTTGGCTCAAGATCTTCCTGGTTTGGCTACTTGTCATAGAAACACCACAGAAAAGGAGGCTTGGAATGATTACAGTAAGTCCCTTGATGGTTTAAAGCTCTACATGCCTTCTCGCCTCGATCATGGTTCTGTCACTGCAAGATACCGAGTCTGGTGGCTGAAATCAGTTTCAAAGTTTCTGAGTCTTGAAGAGATGAAGGAAGAATCAACTGAAACTTTTAATGCAAGGAAGACATTTGATCATTATGACGAAGATGATGATGATGATATTGATGCATCTCCCAAGGTATTGCCTTTGAGTCAGGTGGTTCAGAAATTGGAAGAAGACTTTTCTGCAAAACGCAGAAGATCTGTGATGCATAGATCAGTAAAGCAAGATAAGATAGGTGGGTGGGTGAACAGTTGTGTATCTTCAGGTTCGAAGATGAACAAGACAAGTGAGGATCTTTCAAACAAGAGAAGCATTTACAAGCCAGTGCAGCTGAAGCGAGCTCATGAGGATGATGATGAAAGTTCTATGGGTGAAGAAGATGATAACAAGAGTATTGCTCAAAGGATCAGATCTAAGAAGAAGTATAGTAGTAATGTAGAGAATACTGTAGGAGATGCTTCTGAAACACTTGGAAAAAGGACTAGAAGATATATGACGGTGGATAGCGATGACGAATCAGAGCCTTGTCAAAAGCTTGCTTCGATAAAAATAGAGCAAAGGAGTGAAGTGGATGAGGAAACTGCAAGCAAAGCACAGAAGACAAGGGAGACTTTTAATGATTTTGAGGTTGACGTGATTGGAAATACTGTAGGAAAGAAGAGTATTATCGATGATGAGCAACGTAACAGGCAATGCAATGGGACCAATAAAGCAGAGCGTTTGCGCCACGAAGATGGCGAAAAGCAGAAATACAATGAGAAGTTGTGTAGTGAAGTTAAAAAGCAAGAAGAAATTGATGAAAGACTGAAAGAGAGAAAGCTTGCAATAAAGGAGATGGAAGTGAAGCTCGAGACACGTATAATTGAGATGGAGAAGACTTTGGCCATGATTAGAATGTGGAAAATCAGAGGAAACCAGATTAAAAGTGGAGTTTCTGCTTAGGATCTCATGGAAATAAAACAACAGTGTCACAAATATCAATATTGATGAGATTCTCTTTTACTCTTTACTCTTTTGTATATGTAGAGAACTCACCAGAGACAAATATTTATAGTGTTAGTATTAGAAATACATTAAATGGATGAATCAGTACGTATGCTTTTGAATTAGGTGCAGAGAAAGTGAGAAAATATGAGAGGTCGTCACACACACAAATCAAATTAAAGTCTTTGATAGTCTGGTTTCCCTTGATTAAACAAAACGGGTTTCTCAAATAAATATTAACTAAATCATGTGTCTCAAAATTATATTTATAAATTTTAGTTTTGAACCGGTTTAAATTTTAGTTTTGAATATCTAATTTTGAACTTGTTCACAAAGCTAGATCATTTTTTGGCAATTATTCTCACTATTAAAATAGTTCAATACAGCACAACACGTAAATGATTTGTAACATACTAAAATTCGCCATTAAATTTGAGATTTTGGTAGACAAGACCATATTACAAGATTATGATTAAACATGGTCCTAAGCCCAATAAACGGTTTTTGATGGCCAAACAATATCATCATTCATTTCTCGTTACGTAGGCATTTTGAATCGGTGGTTTTATCGTGTTAAGGAGGGCTTACGGTGGCTTATGGTTGCTTTCTTTGGTTCAAAACATTCATAATAAACATTTTAGTAATGTATAGAGAATTTGCATAATTGCCTAAAGTGATAATACTTTAGGATATTAACATTGTACAGTTAGTATTTTAAATTTAATTTTACGAGTACGAATCAAAGAAAGAGACTTTTGCTTTTTGTTTGCCATAAAAGCAAACTGTTGGGTTCAGTGTCTAACATTTTTACTCTGCACAGACTGCTTCAACGAAAAAATGCTATCTTTCTTTTTCCATTCATAACAAACTACTGATTCCTAAAGTCTCTGTTTTTTTTTCTACTTTCAAAATCCCTACCTTTTGCTTCTTCTTCTTCACCATCTAGAGAGATGAATAACGCATCTTCCTCTGAGAATCTTCTCATTGAAGAGAGAGAAGAAGTCATGGTTTCTAAAAAAGGTCGTTGCTTGAAGAAAACCCATTTTCTAAAACCTTTTGCTACCTCCATCAATGGTGGCTCTGTATCTGAGCTTCCTCGTCGTGACTATCATAACGTCCCTCTGATTTCTCTTTGGAACTAAAGCGCTTCTCTTCACAGGTTTCTTTCTCTGGGTTTTGGTTTGCAGAGCGTCGTTTTTTGTCTTGGGTTGTAAAAATGGAAGCTTTACACGCACCCACTTGGAAAAAAGCTGGGATTTTTGATGCAATCAAGGCTTCTACTTACAATATCTCTAAAAACGTGTCTTTGATTCTCTCTGTTACTGAGAAATGGTGTCCTGAAACAAAATCTTTTGTCTTTCCTTGGGGTGAAGCACCATAACGCTTGAGGATGTAATGGTTCTTCTTGGGTTTTCTGTTTTGGGTTCTCCTGTTTTTACCCCTTTAAAAAGCTCAGAGATGAGAGATGCCGTGGAGAAATTGGAGAAAGAAAGATTTGAGAATAGATGCAGCGACGGTACTTTGAAGGAAACACCATGGATCTCGAGCTTTTTGGGTAGAGGTGGTCAGATGGAGCACGAAGCGTTTCTGGTATTGTGGCTTTCGCTTTTTGTTTTTCCTGCTACATCTCGTCGTGCTCTTGCTCCTGTTGTTCTCTCAATCCTGTACAGAGATTTGGGTCGAATCTGTGATTTTGGTAGAGAGAAATGTGCAGACAAAGTTAATTTGAAGTCTTTGTTGAAGTTAGTACAAGTTTGGACATGGGAGAGATTCAGAAACATAAGACCAAAAGCTAGAGAGATACCCAAAGGTGAACCTAGGATAGCTCAGTGGGACTCTCTGCAATAAAGAAATCAGAATGTGAGATTGAGTTTTGATGATTTTGAGTGGCGTCCTTACACTAAAGATTTGAAGAATTGGAAACCTCTTCGGTTTTATGTTGAAGAAGCTATGTGGGTGACTGTTGATGAGAGTATTGATGATGAGTTTGCTTATTTTGCAAGATGTGTGAGAGTTTCTCAGCTTGCTGGAAATGGTTTTGTAAAGGATTACTTCCCGAATAGAGTGGCGATGCAGTTTGGTTTGGCTCAAGATCTTCCTGGTTTGGTTACTCGTCATAGAATCTTCACAGAAAAGGAGGCTTGGGGCGAGTACAGTAAGTCTTTTGATGGTTTAAAGCTCTACATGCCTTCTCGCCTTGATCGAGGTTCTGTCACTTCGAGATACCGAGTCTGGTGGCGGAAATCAGTTTCAAAGTTTCTTGGTTCTGCAGAGATGCATAAAGAATCAACTGAAACTTTTAATGCAAGGAAGAAAGTTGAACATTATGACGAAGATGTTGATGATATTGATACATCTCCCAAGGTACTGCCTTTGAGTCATGTGGTTCAGAGATTGAAAGAAGGCTTTTCTGCAAAACACAGAAGATCTGTGATGCATAGATCAGTAAAGCAAGATAAGATTGGTGGGTTGGTGAACAGTAGTGTATCTTCAGGTTGGAAGATGAACAAGGCAAGTAAGGATTTTTAAAAAAAAGAGAAGCATTTACAAGCCAGTGCAGTTGAAGCGAGCTCATGAGGATGATGATGAGAGTTATATGGATAAAGAAGTTGATAAATTGACTTTTGCTCAAAGAATCAGATCTTGGAAGAAGTATAGCAGTGATGCAGAGAGAACTGGAGGAGATACTTCTGAAAGACAGGGAAAAAGAGCTAGAAGATATATGGCGGTGGATAGTGATGACGATTTAGAGCCTTGTCAAAAGCATGCTTCGATAAAAATAGAGCAAATGAGTGAAGAGGATGATGAAACTGCAAGCAAAGAACAGAAGACAAGGTTGTGATGATTTTGAGGTTGATGTAAATGGAAATACTGCAGAGAAGAAGAGTATGATGGATGATAAGCCACGCAACGGATCGATTATGCAAAGCATTGGAAGCAATGGGGCCAAGAAAGCAGAATGTTTGGTCCATGAGGATGGAGAAAAGCATAAATGCAATGAAAAATTGTGCAGTGAAGTTAAGAAAGAAGAAGAAATTGATGAAAGATTGAAACAGAGAAAGCTTGCAATAAAGGAGATGGAATTGAAGCTCGAGGCACGTATTATTGAGATGGAGAAGACTTTGGCCATGATTAGAAAATGGAAAACCAGAGGAAACATGACTGGAAATGGAGTTTCTTCTGTTTAGGATGATCTCATGGAAACAAAACAACAATGTCACACATGTCAATCTTTGGTGTGAGTCTCTTTTTTTTTTTTTTTTGCATAATTAGAGAACTTACCAGGCACTCATAGTTATGGTGTTAGTTAGTAAATCAGAAAGACATATCAAATGGAAGAAGAAGTATGCGTTTGAATTAGGCGCAAAGAAACTTTTGTCTTTGATAGTTATTTCGTTTGGTTTGATTTGAGTAAGTTTCGGTTAAGTCTTGAATTTGATATAGACCGCTCGGTTTATATAAAACCAATTAGTTTATGTTTGGTCACTTAATTCCATTATGGTAAATGTCTATTAATCATGCTATAAAATACTAGAAAAAAAAAAAAATTGTAAATGCAATGACCTACCAGTTTTTGCATCTTTTCCAAAATGCAAATTAATTTCTGAAAGTAGAAAAAATAAATTAATTTCTGAATTTTGTTTTTGTCTCTAATTATCTATTATAAATATATTTTTTAAAAAGGATTTTGACAAGATAAATAATAATATTAGTGAGATCTTTTTTTATGAATTGTTTCATTTTATCACTCACCTCTGCAACATAGTTTCTGCGTGCCTTGACTTTCAAACATTAACAAGCTGCAAGAAAAAAAAAAAAAAGGCGTTTAATTTTTATTGCTTTCGTCGTCTTCTTCTTCTTCTTCTTCAATTGAAGATCTTCATTACAAAGAGAGAGAAGAGCTCATGGCGTCTCCCACCGAGAACAGCAATCGACCTAATAGCAAAAAAACCCATCTTTTGAAACCTTGTCTCACCTCCATTAATGGATCTCAAGCTCATCTTTGTCATAAACGCTCAGCTCCTTCTCCTGACTTGGAAGCTCTTTCTACGAGTGTTAACTTCTGGGGTTGGAGGTATCCACACAAAAAGTTCAACTCTTGGGCTAGCAAAATGGCTGCTTTACACAAACCCATTTGGAGAAAAGCTGGGATTTTTGAAGCAATTTTATCATCCACTTACAAAATCCTTAAGAACACAGATCTTGTTCTGGGTATTGCTGAGAAATGGTGTCCTGACACCAACACTTTCGTTTTCTCTTGGGGTGAAGCAACCATAACACTTGAAGACGTTATGGTGCTTTTAGGTTTCTCTGTTTTGGGTTCACCGGTTTTTGCTACTCTGGATAGCTCAGGAGAGATTATCAAGGAGAAGCTGGAGAAAGAATGGCTGAAGATTAAGAAAGATAAAGTCAGTTTTGTAACCCAAGTAGCATGGATGGAGAGATTCATGGACAGTGGTGATGAGCTTGAGCATGTGGCTTTCCTCGTCTTGTGGCTTAGCTACTTTGTTTTCCCAACACGCTATTATCATATCTATGAAGCTATTTTGCCAATTGCTATTCATCTTTCAAGTGGTACTAAGATGGCTCTTGCACCTGCTGTTCTTGCACACTTATATGCTGACCTGACTCTCTTGAAAAACCACATTACAGCTTTCAGTGAATCGCCTATTAAGGTCGAAATTGATCTGAGTTCCTTGTTTAAGCTGGTCAATGTTTGGATATGGGAGAGATTCAGGGCACTGCAACCAAAACCCAATCTGTTGGTAAAAGGTGAGCCAAGATTGGTTCGTTGGCATGACCTGAAACAGAAAACCAGCAATGCAAGGTGGACTCTGGGAAACTCGAACAGTTTTGAGTGGCGTCCCTACACAAAAAATGTGAGAAACTGGGATTTTCCTCAGTTTTATCCTGAGAAAGCGATGTGGGTGACTCTTGTTCACAACCTTGATGATGAATTCATCTCCTTTGCTCGATGCATTAAGGTGTCTGAGCTTGTTGGAATTCAAAATGTGGAGCATTACTTTCCTAATCGGGTGGCTTCACAGTTTGGGATGCTTCAGGATGCGCATTGTCCTGTTAACAGGAACAACCACTCACGAGAGGCAGCTTGGAATGATTACTATAAGCCTATTGATGATTTGGCATTTTACATTCCTTCCCGTTCTGCAATATCTTCTGATACGCGAATGTTCTGTGACCAGTGGAGAAAGGGGGTTGTTGGATCAGCTAAAACATTGAGAACCAGCATAGGTGATGACTCAAGTTGTGTTCTTTCAGGCTCTAAGATGAACAGAAGAAGCGAGGATGGAAGGAAGATAGCTGAGGATTCAACAAAAAAGAAACTTAAGTACATGAAGGGAGCTCGTAAGAACGATGGGAGTACAATGGGTCGTTGTCAGAAACAGGTTCCATCAGACAGTGATGATGACGATGATAGCCTCACCGTTGCTCAAATAACGACACTTTATAAGAAGAAGTGTAGTGAGAACAGTGGAGGAAATGCTTCTGAGCCGCTTGGTAAGAAAATAAAACTTGAGGCGGATAACAATGATTTAGGGCCTTGCCAAAAGCTTTCTTCAATAAGAGATGATGGAGATGAAACTGTACCACCACCGGAAATAGAGCAAAAGAATGAAGAACCTCATGAAACAGGAAGCAAAGCAGGGCTGCGTATGATTCTGAGCCCATTCGATGAAAAAAACTCTTCAAAACCTCCTGTTGATTTTGGTCGAGCAATTGACATTGTTGTATCTGCACCAGAGACAAGTCAATTCTGTGATGATGAGCTTGATGTATATGGAAGCAATGCAGAGAAGAAGACTATGATCGATGATGACAGCGAGGAACCAAAGTGCTTACTCCATGAAGATGGTACCATAACTAGAGAAATGGTGAGATCAGATAAGAAGTGTTGCAGTGAAGCTGAGAAGGAAGATGCTGATGGAAGGATCAATGAGAAGGTGCTAGCATTAAAGGCAGACAACAACATATCAAGCCCTCATCAAGAGCTTGATTCTGGATGCACTAATGGAGATGAAACAAGCAAAGTGTATAAGCCTAAGGTTCTGAAGCCATCTGATGAGTCAAACATTCACATCGCTGTAGGGCATGGAAATGAGGGACAGGATTGCTTGCTGCATGGTGATGGCATCGGAAGTGAAGAAGAAACTATGAAATCCAATGAGCCGTTAAAGGTTTTCGAAAAGAGAAACAATGATTTGGGTGAGGGTGATGTTGATAATGACACCACTGAAAAGAGATTTCAAAAGCTGAAGGTGCTGGCATTGTCGATAGAGGAACGTATTATTAAGGCAGAAAGAGCTGTGGCATTGTTGAACGTAAAGAGAGCCATAAAACAGAGAAAAATAGCAGCAGCTGGTTTGAGTTAGGTCTTGTTTTGGACAGATAAAGAAAGGAGAAGTCAAATGCAAGTAATATATCAAAGTTCAGTCTCATATCTTTATGATCTTTTTGGTTTAGTGTCTTTTGATTTTTCTTCCAATTATCTTTTAAAGACTGGTTTGGTTCAAGTGTTTCATTTGTATCTTTTGAACCTACTCAGTTATGAGCAACTTAATAGCTTCTTGGTGTGTTGCATATCAGAGTTTTCTTACAGAGGATAGCCTGATTCCATCATATAATATAAATCATGTATAAACAAAAAAAAAAAAATAGATTTCTACTCAAAACAGATTACTATATGGACAAATTCATATGTGTATTGGTTGCCACCATTCAACATTATTCAACAATGGAGGAGATCATATGCTCCATTAAAAACCAGAGTACATAACCATCATTCAGATTTTCAGTGGTATGTGGTTGCCGCCAGTCACGATTTTGTACACGTAGAAACAGGTCATGAGAGCACTGCAATGCACACAGAGAAATGTATTAAAGAGATTAATGGTTACATTAGGAACTAAAATCGTTGAGAAGAAGACCAAAAATGGAGTTTCTGCTTAGCTAGTTGTGTCTAAACCATTCAATCTGAAACTTTTACAATGTTATTGTCTCACATATCTTCAATCTATTGATGCGATCTCTTTTGCATACCTATAGAACTTACAAAACACAAAGGCCAAAGCTTTATTTTATGGTAATTCACCACAAGAAATTGTAAATGCTACTATTGTTGATTAAAAAAAGAGTTAAATTATTTAATGTTGATTGATGAGTTTAAAAAGCAAATGTCACATTCCAGTTCCATCACCTCTGCAACGTAATCTTTTGCCTTGATTTTTCTTACAAACGATTCAAATTTCAAAGCATAACATCAAAAATGAGAAAACGAGTGATACTTTCTCTTTCAACTTCATCTTCTTCTTCTCCAGCAAATGCTTCTCTCTGAAAACAGTCGACCTAGCACCAAAAAGAACCCATTTTCAAAACTCTGTTTCTCCACCTCCATTAAAGGCTCTGTCTTTCAGTGTTTCTGTCACTGGTTTAAAGATTAGGGTTTGTGTTTCACCGACTTCGGCCTCCAGCAAAACTAGCTCCGCCTCTGATCAGCCACCCCCTCTCTCCTCTTCCTTCTGGTATTGAGTCGCTTCTTCTCTCTTCTTTAACGCATTCTTCTCTCTCACTATATCTTGATTTAGGAGTTATTTCTTCGGTTGTTTTGTGTGTAGACTGGAAAGTTTCATTTGGACAGCGTTAGGTCTCAAAGTGTCATCATTTGTCTCTACAAAGATTAGTTTTTGTTTACAGTAGTTCCAACTGTTGTTGTTTGGGTGAATAAACGAGATTTACAACGTCTTGAATAATGTTGTTTCACACACAACACAGAGCTAACTTAACCTCTGAAACATTTTGAGTTTTATTTTTGAACTGCTAGATTTGGTAACGTCCAGTGAAGGTTGAGTTGCTCTGTTTTATTTTTTGCAGGTGTAGAGAGATGAATACTAGAGAGTCTACTGTGAAACTTGCTTTGCCCAACAGAATTTTCAAGCACGGCACTGAACCAGTGGGATTAGAAAGGATCAACATGTGTTCAAGTTTAAAGTTGGTGGGCTTGGTGAAGGATCTATTGGGTAGTGATTTCGAAAAGTTAGAAAAGTCCTTTTTGAGTACTATAATAAAGCTGGGACAAGACAAAACTGTTACATTCTCCGGAAAATTGGTTCATTACCTACTTCAAAGAAGGATAATCACAAAAGAAGAAGAGTTGTGGTTTACATTTGGTGAACAACCAATGCGGTTTTCGCTAAGGGAATTTTTCCTTACAACCGGATTACCATGTAGTGTTGTAGGAGGGACAAGTAACAAGAAGGGAGATAGGAAGAAGAAAACATATTCATGGATGAAAGATGGAATAAAACTGAAAGAGCTGATTCGTATTCTGACCAACCGTAAAGGCACTATGAAACCCGATGAGAAAGTTCGCATTGGTGCTCTAATACTTGTTGAGGGTATACTGCTAGCTCAACATGCAGATCTGAAAATTCCGGTAGTTCGTTTGCTGCGAGCTAAGGATTTTGAGGAATATTGCAGTTACCCTTGGGGGAAATGTGCATATGACACATTGGTGAAAAGTGTTGTGAAGCTCACTAGTAATCATTTGTCAAGGAAACAATATTGGTTTCATGGATTTCCTTTAGCTATGCAATTTTGGGCATTGTCTTCGGTGCATCAACTAGGGACAAGATTTGCGAAAAGAGTGGTTTCAACAACAAATGGTCCATTATGCCTAGAGTGGACACACACTTCGACACCACAGTTAAGAGAAGTCGCAAGAATCGCAGAACTTGATAAGGTAAAAAAGCTTGGTTTCTACCTACATACGGTTCTTTTAATATCTATGTAAGTTTGTTTTAAATGGTTTTAAATCTGTGATGCAATTTTAAAATATTAGGTTGAGGTAAAATGCATCATTGGAGATCACAAACTGTACAACAACTTGGTGAAGAAAGTTGTTGACGTGGAATTTGGAAAAGTGATTGATCTGGTTGAGAAAGGATATAGGATAAAGGCAAGTGATTGGATAAATGGATATGTTGATCTTGTTTCTTCAAGAGAGATAGTTTTGGGAATCAAAGAGAATGGAGAACAAGGAAAACAGACAGAAGACAATTTGACCAGGCTTTGTTCTCTTGATGAGTGTAATGAGAAGTTGGACAAGTTGACCAGACTTGTCACCCTTCAGGACAAAAAGATAAAAAGCTTAGAGATAGTTTTGGGAGTTAAAGAGAATGGAGAACAAGGAAAACAGACACAAGAAAAAGAGGTAAGTAAAAAATTTCAAACGATTAAATAAGGTTTTATAAATAGCATTGTCATACAAAAGATAAGGATCATCTTATTAGACAAACTCTGACATGTTTATTTTAAATCAGGTTGTGGAGGAGGACACACATATAGATAGTGTTACCCCTAGTAAGAAGAAGAAACGTACAAGGGAGATAATAGAAGAGGAAGAGGACGAGGACAAGGAAGAAGGAGAAAACGGTAACAATGAATCGGCTGAAATTTTTAAATCAAGAAACATCATAGGTGATGATACTAGTTTTGTTCTTTCAGGCTCTAAGGTGAACAGAACAAGCAAGGGTGGAATGAAGATAGCTGAGGACTCAAGCAAGGGAGCTCGTGGGAACGATGAGAGTACTATGCGTCGTTTTCAGACACAGGTTCTGTCAGACGATGATGAAGAAGATGACATCCTCACCATTACCCAACTGTTGAGACTTAAGAAGAAGTAGTGCTGTAAAGAATATTGGAGGAGATACTTCTGAACGGATTGGTAAAAGAAGTAGACTTGAGGCGGATAGTATTGATTCGGGGCCTTGTCAAAAGCTTGATTTGATAAGAGATGAAACTGTACAATCACCAGAAATAGAACAAAGGAATAAAGAGACTGATGAAACTGGAAGCATGTTAAGGAAGAATGTTGTATCAGCACCAGAGACAAGTCTCTGTGATGTTGAGCTTAATGTATATGGAAGCAATGCAGAGAAGAAGACTATGATCGATGATGACAACGAGGAACCAAAGTGTTTGCCCCATGAAGATGGTACCATAACTAGAGAAATGGTGAGATCAGATAAGAAGTGTTGCAGTGAAGCTGAGAAGGAAGATGCTGATGGAAGGATCAATGAGAAGGTGCTAGCATTAAAGGCAGACAACAAAATATCCAAACCTCATCAAAAGCTTGCTTCTGGATGCGCTAATGGAGATAAAACAAGCAAAGCATATCAGCGTAAGGTTCTAAAGCCATCTGATGGTGATCAGGGACAGGCTTGTTTGCGTCATGGAGATGGCATCGGAAGTGAAGAAACTATGAAATCCAATGAGCAGTTAAAGGTTTTTGAAAAGAGAAACAATGATTTGGGTGAGGGTGATAATGACACCACTGAAAAGAGATTTCAAAAGCTGTAGGTGCTGGCATTGTCATTAGAGGAACGTATTATCAAGGCAGAAAGAACTGTGGAATGGTTGAACGAAAGGAGAGCCATGAAACAGAGAAAAATAGCAGCACCTCCTTTGAGTTATGTTGTTTTGGACTGATAAAGAAGTGATAACTCACTACAGGAAATGTGGGTATTAATAGCGGCCGAAAAACGCAATTATTCATCTACCATAGCGTTTCCTTAAGCGCTCTGACATCGCCCGTTATAGAAAGTCGGACACTTTTGATAGCGGTTTTGCGTTGTGCAATAGTTAAGTATACAACGATAGCGTTGTCTTCTGTGCAATTGTTAATGTTTATAATAGCGTGATAAAGATGTTATTAAAACTCGTTAATTAGATTTTACCTATAGCAAAGATAGCAAATGTTTTGTGTTATTAGTTTGTTTTTAAATTATTCAAAATAATAAATAATTACGAATTATTTTTTAATTTAAATATAATATTTGTAAAAAAAAATTAATTTCGAATATTTGTAAAAAAAAATACCATTAAAATTAATACAAAATATATAAATATTAAAATGTTTAGTAACCCATTTCAAATTTCATTGTTTACAAAAACCACAAACATACCTATCAATCTACCACTAACAAACCTTCACAATCATCCCTAACATAAACAATATCATCATCAAAAGCTTCATCATCCAAATCATCGACTTCTTTGATCAGTCTTGATCCATCTTCTGGGATGTTGGAGCCGAGAAACGATTTGATGCTTTCATCATTTAGCTCACCTAAACGAGGAGAATCCATTGAAGTAGTTCTAAGTATTCTTGGAGACTCCATTGAAGTAGTTCTATGTATTTTGGGAGATTTTGGTGTTGGTGGTAGACGCGGAGACTCTATTGAAATAGTTCTCTGTGTTCTTGGTGATGCCATTGGCACATTTGCTGCAGTGGCTGATGCCGACCCAGCTTCAACTTGCTCCATTGATGTCTCGTGCGCTGCTACCAGTTCTCCAAAATCTAACCCGGAGCTCACTAATTCGTCGTATCTTCCTGACTGCACAATCATTCCATCTCGCATAACCTGTAAAACAGATTTACTCATTAGCAAATTCCTATAAAAACTCAACAAGTTTTAGCTTTTTGTTCCAACGAACTGTACCAAGATGCGATCAACGTTGTGAAGGAAGTCCACTTGACTCCTTTCCAGTCTCTTCCGATAGCTCTCTGCTCATCATGTAAGCGTCGTCCAAAAAAACTATCTTGTTAACAATAAAGAGAGAAATCAAACTTATGATATCATGACAACAGAACAAGGAACCAGAGATTCAGACAACAAACAAAGAAACAAACCTTGGAGTTCTCGTTGTTTGTAATTGAATCCCACTTCTCCTGAACCTCTGCTGGAATTTTCAACAGAATCTTGCTTCTTCTCTTCTTCTTCCTCTTCGTCTTCTCAAGACCAGACTCATCTTTCTTCCTCTGTCTCTTCTTCCCTACTTTGTCATTAAAATCAGTCGTAGGTTCCTTAAAATTGCCAAGATCTTCTTCGCCTTCGTCTACAAATTCAGATACATAAATCTGACTTTTTATCTAATCTCCTCCTTGTGATATCCGTCACAGAGATGACTGGACCCGTAAACCCAAATACACGATTGAAATCTGCCTTGAACAACGGCACGCGTGGTATCTTCCGGCGCCGTTTTGAGGTCCAGATAAGTCTCCCCGACCTTCTCTCCCTCGAATGAGATGATTGGAAGAGTCGCTAGCTGAGATGCAACAGAGAGCGGTTTCGATGCTTTGCCGGAGCCGAATTTTGAAACGGAAATGTAGGTTTTAGGGATTTGGTGAGAGGAAGATAAAAAGAGAGAAGAGGAGAAGAAAGATAGAGAATTTGGGGCTGTTGCAGAGGAATCCATTGTTGGTCGATGAGCTCACCTATCTCAACGAAGAAGAAGAAGACTGAAAGTTTTAACCTATCCCATAAGATGTAAGATCTAAGAACAGATCGTACTAAGGAAGAGAAAGCCAAAAGGAAAAGAAGTTTTAACCCAAAAAAAAAGAAAAGAGGGAGAAACGTTTAGCCGTCGGATTAAATTCATCAACGGTGGAGAATAAGCCCAGAGTGCAATCTCAGTAGTTACTCCTTATTGGCTAAGAACATGAACGGCTCAGATCAAATCAGCGATACAGATCAACGGTGTATATTAATCACGTCAACAATAAGAAAGGACGGCTCAGATCAAAGTCGGCGCGATCTAACGGTGTAGGATTCGTCCCACCATGTGGGAGGTGAGTTCTCATTGGCTAATAATGAAAAAATCAGAAAATTATCATATAAAATTGTTTATTAATGAAAAAAAAATAAATTATTTCTTTAAAAATTCAATATACGTATTTCAATTTTTAGAATATTTTTTCTTGTAAGTATAAAATTTTAAAATTAAGAACAATTAATATAGGTTAGTATTCCAACTATCTAACTTATATGTTCATATACACTAAGGCATAGTTTAGGGTTTAGGGTTTAAACTTTGGGATTTAGATTTTTTTACTCAAGTATTTATGTTTTATAGTTTATGATTTCGAATTTCAATTTAGGATTTTAACTTTAATTTAGAGTTTAAAGATTTAATTTAATTAGGATTTTAACTTTAATTTAGGGTTTAGGGTTTAGGGTTTAGGGTTTAGAGATTTAATATAAGATTTTAACTTTAAAATTTAAAATAATTATTTTAAAATAATTTTATTTTGTTAATTTATAAAAAGTGAATCATGTTTCAAGATTGAACTTTCAACCCTAAACCCTATACCCTAAATGGTTTAGGGTTTAGGGTTTAGGGTATAGGGTTCCATCTTTAAACATTTTTCACTATTTTTCAATTAACAAAATAAAACAAAAAAAATCATTAAAAACTTTTCAATTAAAATTTATTTAAATTTTTTTATTTCTTTTACAAGAATTTTTTTCATTAGTATAATTTTATTATTATTATATGATACATTAGTTAATTTTATATTCCATTGTTGATTGTATATATATATATATTTTTTTAGAAGAAAATTTCTGTTCCATGATTTTGTTTGTAGTTTAAAATTATTTGATAGTATATTATTAACAAACTATCAAACGTATACGAATAATTATGAATTAAAATTTATTAACATGAGAAAACAAAGTCTAGAGAAGTGCATACATATATTGTTCGACATAAAAATAAAACAAAGTCTAGAGAAGTGCATACCAAAATAAAACAAAGTTTTCGACACTTTCTCTCTTTTTTTTTTTTTTGAACACCAGTCTTCGACACTTAAAACAAATGGTGCGACATAAATTTCAGAGACCTTGTTGTACTTGTGACACGTTGAGTATACATAGTGCAGTTTCAGCATCCTCTAACTTTTCTCTAAAATCTGATTCTTCTGCAGTACACTCAGATGGAAGTTCATCACCAACTTCAGATTCAAAAAAAGCTGTCCTCATCAAGTAATAAGCCTCTTCCTCTGAATTTGGAACATCTGCAGATGTACTATCCCTCCTGTCCCCATGCTTAAACTAACATGGATTCCTCTTGTACTTCAAATCCATACCTCTAATCACAAGAGGCTCAAATACAGTATCTATCAGCTGATGGCAAAAATTCCAACAATCGACGCATGGACAGAACAGATTCTTATGTCAAAAGTCAAAGACGCTATCACGAACCTTGGTATGAGACATCTTCTTTCGCCTCTCTCATTAGCCAGATTGCAATTCCCCCAAGCCTGAGTGTCTCATCTATTACCTGTTGAGAAATCAAGAAAAGTGTTTAGTGAAGGTTTTTACCATCTGTGATAAGAAGCAGAGAACATTCTTGGGCATCTTGATTTACTTACGCATTGAGTGAAGTCCATTGTCTTGTAATCTTGCCATGTTAGCATTCCACCTGCGAGCCTATCATGTTCTTCCTGCTCATTTGCACGATGTTTTCGCGGTGGTTTCATCTGAGGTAAGCTTTCTTCTTCAAGCAATCTTCCAAGTACACCATTCCCAGCGCCAGCAGTATCTGATGCTGCTTTGTTCTGCAACCGCTTCTCTATCGTCTTGTTTATGCTTTGTTCTGCAACCGCTTCTCTATCGTCTTGTTTATCTTGCTTATGATTTCCTTTCGTGCCTGAACAACAAATAAAAAGATCCAAGAAGTTGGTTAACCATAAGATGAATCGCAACCTGAAACAGAACAACCAAACAAAGAATAAATAATCATGACATTCTCTCAAGGCTTTGTTCGTATTATTCTTCAATCACTTGCCTTACTGCAGATATCCTGGAGAAGCACGACTTCACCGTCCTTAAAGTTACTCAATGTCTGAAGCATATGGATTCCTCTTGTACTTCAAATCCATACAGATCCGCAAATCCAATTACACATCAGAAAAAGATACATGAGACATCAATAATCATGAGAGCAGTGGCAGCGACCGGTAAGAACTAGAGACAAGAGCTAGGAAACCAAATTAGCATCTTTATATGAGAGCAAGAAACTTTTCTACACTATCCAAACTCAGGACAGAAATCAATCGATACATGCATTATCTAGTAAAGAATCTAGTAAATAGACTATCTTGTAATGAATCTAAACTCAGACATAAATCAATCGAAAACACAAATTGAAAGTCGAACACCCAAACTCACATAAGAAGAAAGAAACACGATTCAAATCACACAAACAACAATCCAAAACCCAATTACTTCAAAAACAACAAAAACAGATGAAACCCTAACATGAATAAAAACTAAATCATTGAGAATATCGAACACCCATACATATACTAACCAATTTGATTTCGATTGATGTCTGTGACGATTAAGAAACATACGATCGAGATCTAGAGAGATTTCGACTGAGAGGGATTTAGATCTGAGAGGGATTAGACAAAATTAGGGATCGATAGTGGAAGAGAAACTAATTGGGTTTCATTTGGTGTTCATATTTGGTCTTTCAGGGAGAAAGAACGGATCAGTCTCGAGACAGAGAAGAAAGATGTGAGAAGAGGAAAGAAAGAAGAAAGATGTGAGAAGGATCGATAGCCCTAATTTTTTTTTTTTTTTTAACTTATTGTTTCTTTGTTTTTTTTAATTATTTTGTTACTTAGTAAAATTTTTGGAGCCAATAAAATTTTAGTTTCCCGGTTATACCTATAATAACGTTTTAATTTACATCTATGCTATCATAGACCAAATACTAAGCGCCACTCTGAAATATTTTTCGCGCTCAACCTACCATAGCGTTTGCCTTTCTCCAAACGCTATCTAAAATTTTTCAAAACTCTATTATAGCATAAACATTCAAAACGCTATGCTCTTACGCTATTAATACCCACATTTCCTGTAGTGACTCAAATAGTCAAATCTCATCTTTGTGATCTTTTGTGTTTCCTGCTTAGATCTTAATATCTTTTGAGGAGTGGTTTGCTCTTAGTTTAAGTGTTTAATATTAGAGTTTGCTCAAAAGAATAACTTTCTCATTAATCTGAATGTTAGGCTGTACAATTGCTTATATACTACAGCTAAAGATCTTATACAAAATATCTTAACGTCTCTGTTATTAGCTTTGTTTAACAACTAACAGTGTTATTGAACTCTGTTAATAAACAGCTCATTTTCTTGTTACTCAAGGTTCTGCATATAGTGTGATATCCCCCCTTAAGCTGGCACGAAAATATTTGAAATGCCCAGCTTACTCAAATTAGCTCTGAACATGCCAGGATATAACGCCTTAGTCAGTATATCTGCAACTTGGCATTCGGATCTCACATGAATAAGCTTAACAGTTCCTTCTGTAACTCTGTCTCTTACCGTATGCATATCTCTTTCAATATGTTTGGTTCTTTCATGAAAAACCGGATTGTTCCCAATATGAATGGCTGCCTGATTGTCACAATATAAAACTGTGGGTGTCTTTGGTGTAATGTGTAGGTCCTCCAGTAAGCTTCTTACCCAAACAATCTCACAAACAGCTAAAGCCATAGCTCTGTACTCAGATTCTGCAGAAGAGCGATATACAATGTCTTGTTTGCTTGACTTCCATGAGATGAGACTTTTACCAAGAAACACACAATATCCGGAGACAGACCTTCTTGAATCAGGATATCCACTAAGATCCGCATCAACAAAAACTTGTAATTCCATATCAGGATCAGAACTGTAGAAAAGACCTTGACCAACGGTACCTTTGATGTAATGTAGTAATTTGACAACTGCTTTGTAGTGATCTTCACGAGGAGCATTAGTATATTGTGCCAACTTATGAACTGCAAAACAAATGTCTGGTCTCGTAATTGTCAAGTAGATCAGTTTCCCAATAAGACTTCTGTATCCTTCTGGACTTTCTAACAATTCTCCATCAGCTTCAGAAAGTTTTTGATTAGGTTCCATAGGTATAGAAGAGGGTTTGCAACCAAGTAGACCTGCTGAATCAAGCAAGTCAAGAGCATATTTCCTCTGACAAATATTAATACCTTCAGCAGACCTAGCAATTTCCAAGCCAAGGAAGTATTTGACTGGACCTAAGTCCCTCATTTTGAAATGACCCTTCAATTGTGATTTAAGTTCCTCTGCAGCTTCATCACTGTTACTAGAGATAATGATATTGTCTACATATACCAGAACAAACAGTAAAACTGATTCTCTGAACTTAGTAAACAGTGTGTAGTCTGAGTGATTCGTCTGGAAACCAAGACCCTTTAACGTCTCTGTAAACTTGAGATACCACTGGCGTGACGCCTGTTTCAACCCATACAAGGATTTGTTGAGTTTGCAAACTGCATTAGCAGGCAATGCTCCATTCTTTGAAGTGTATCCAGGAGGCAACTGCATATAAATCTCCTCTGCAAGATCTCCATTGAGAAATGCGTTAGAAACATCTAACTGAGACAAAGACCAACCGAGTTTTGCAGCAAGAGCCAATAATGTTTTCACTGAAGTCAACTTAGCCACGGGTGAGTAGGTGTCAACATAATCTAAACCCGACTTTTGTGTGTACCCTTTTGCCACCAAACGAGCCTTATATCTCTCCAGAGAGCCATCAGAGTTGTATTTAACTTTATAAACCCACTTGCAACCAATGATATGTTTATCTGCAGGAAGAGAGCAAATAGACCATGTATTAGTGTCTTCCAATGCTGTTATCTCTTCACCCATTGCATTTGTCCAAACAAGGTGCTTCTTGGCTTCAGAGTAAGTAGAAGGTTCAAACTCTCTTGTAATAGCAGTCAGAAATAAATGATAAGGACCTGATAACTTGTCATATGAGAGGTAGTTGCACAAAGGATACTTAATTTCACTACTTAGGTAGTAACAGTGGTAATCCTGAAGATAAGCAGGAGTCTTTGATTTCCGAGTAGTATCAAGTACTGAATGTGAGACATCAATTTTACCCCGAGATATATCAACATTGACAGCAGCTGAATCTCCATCTACAGCTACTGCATTCTCTGGATTTGGCACAAATGTCTCTGTAATGGACGCAGAATCTCCTACTGCAGAATCATCACAGAGAAAACCATCTGGCACTGAATCTTCCTGTGTCTGTGAAGTGCTAGCAGAATCTTTATCCACTGCTAAAACATCATCAATATCAGACACAGTAGGAAAAAAATCCTGAATTTGTTGTTTCATATCTCCAATCGCTAGAGGAAACAAGTCCTCATGAAAATAACATGTCTAGATATAAGAACATCATGTGTCTCAATATCTAGCAATTTATATCCTTTAACACCTGTGGGATATCCCAAAAAGATGCAGGCTCTTGCTCTGGGAGCAAACTTATTTCTCTGTTGTGTTGAAGTAGAAGCATAAGCCAAGCATCCAAAAGTCTTCAATCCATCATATTCTGGTGGTTTCTGCATTAAGATTTCAAAAGGAGACTTATTAGCCAGAGTTTCTGTAGGTAGTCTATTTATCAGAAACACTGCAGTCATGATGCATTCACTCCAGTACTCAATGGGAATATGAGACTGAAACATAAGAGCTCTGGCAACATTAAGGAGATGCTGGTGCTTTCTCTCCACAACAGAGTTTTGCTGAGGAGTCTATAGACAAGAATGGTATGACATGATTCCCTTCTCTTTAAAAAAACTTTGTGAAGTTGAATTCATGAGCATTATCTGAACGCACTGCCTTGATCTTTGTATCAAACTGAGTTTCAATCATTGCAACAAAAACAGGGAACACTGAGGTTGCCTCTAACTTATTTCTGAGCAAATAAACCCATGTAGCCCTAGAATGATCATCCACAATAGTCAAAAAATACTTAAAACCATCATGTGAAGTGACTGCAAAAGGACCCCATGTGTCAATATGAATCAAATCAAAAGCTTTATTCATCTTATTATTCCGAGCTACAAACGGTAAATGCTTCTGCTTAGATAAATGACAAACTTTGCAATGAATCTGGTCTGAAATATCTTTAGGGAACATAACAGATAATGAACTTGAGAGAGATTTAAGTTTCTGAGAAGAAGGATGACCTAATCTTTGATGCCAGATATGAGATTCATTCTTGACTGTAACACAAACTGTTGGAGTAGGTTGTTCTGTAGGCTGAAACTGTAAATCCAAGAAGTAGAGCTTGTTATGGAGATTACCTCTTCCAATCATCAATCCCTTTGTAAGATCCTGAATTTCACAACCAGCAGAATCAAACCACAAACCACATTTGATAACAGCAGTCAGAGAACTCAAACTTAACAAATGAAATTTAAACTGAGGAATAAACAAGACATCATTCAAGATGAGCTTGTCATTAAGTTTAATAGTCCCCAATCCCTGAATTCTTACACCAACACCATTAGCAAGCTTCACTGTAGTTTCTTGAATAGGAGTCATAATATCAAACAAATTTTTATCATAAGTCACATGGTGTGTCGCACCAGTATCTATAACCCAAGTATTCATATTCACTATCTTGTCAGACACAGAGTAAAAGTATGATTGATTCTCTGGTGACAAAGAATAATAAATGGAAGGGAAAATAGTACCAGTGATTTGACATGCCATAGGGTTGATTCCTGAGACAGTTGGAGTAGAAGGTATCTCAGTAAGTGTTGCGGTAGAACTACTAGCCATGTTACTGGTGTTCTGAGGCTGCAACTTTGAATTGAGATAAGATACCAAGTGCTGAAGCTGTCCTGGACTGAGAGTCTGTTCAATTTCTGACACTGATTTAGTGAGAGCAAGATTTGCTGAAGCATTAGGAGTATAGAACTTCTGAGTGGGGTTTTGACGTTGATTCTTAGGTTTCCATCCAAGAGGATAACCGTGAATCTTATAGCAAACATCCACAAAGTGACAATTCAAACCACAATGTGAACAGCGAACTCCAGATTTCAAAGATCCTTTAGGCTGAAAAACATTCACCTGAGCTTTCACTTGGAACGCAGAAGGATTAGAACCACTGACATTTCTTTTTCTCTGAGATTCATCAGATTCCAGCATGTTATACATATCAGAGAGACTAGGTCGAGGTTTGATGTTGAGAATCTGTCCTCTGATATTAGCAAAATCATCATTCAATCCCATGAGAAACTGAGTAATCCGTGTAGTCTCATGATCATCCAAGAGTTTTAAGACCTGAGAACAACGACATCCACCATTTTCCATAAGATTCTTAGTACATGCTAGACGTTCCCAGAGAGTAATCTTCTTAGTATAGTATTCAGAGAGAGTTAAATCGCCTTGACGCAATGAATTGATCTCTTGTTCTAGATTATAGATCTGAGGAAGATTACTTTTATGAAATCGCCTGTGTAAATCATCCCAAATTCCAGCAGCATCATGAAAATAAAGAATGCTATCATAGATCTGTTTTGAAACAACATTTAAAATCCAAGCCTTCACCATACTATTGCAACGAATCCAGATCTTGTAAATCGGATCAGATTCAAGAGGTCGTGGAAGAGATCCATCGACGAAACTGATCTTGTTCTTAGCTTCTAGACTAGTTTTCATAGTAATGATCCACGAGTTGTAATTCTCACCAGTAAGTTTCTCGGTTACAATCGACATACCACGATGATCACTGGAGTGTAAGTAGAACGGATTGTGATGGCTATCGATCGAATCAGAATCTGATGGAAAACGAGTCACGGAGGTGTGAGCTGGAGCTGATCGTTGAACGATCGGAGTATCGACATCTGAATCCTGACTAACCGAACGATTCCTGAGCTGCTTGGTCCCTTTCTTCGCCATTGATACGATGATCGACGATGAGAAAGATGGACACGACAAGCCGAAGTGAAATCTTCAAGAGAATCCAGAAAAATTTTCCCGGAAAATTTCGTTTTCCGGGAAAAGTTGTGCTTGTAACAAACTTTTGAATGAGAGAGAAATTTAATGCTCTGATACCATATTAGAGTTTACTCAAAAGAATAACTTTCTCATTAATCTGAATGTTAGGCTGTACAATTGCTTATATACTACAGCTAAAGATCTTATACAAAATATCTTAACGTCTCTGTTATTAGCTCTGTTTAACAACTAACAGTGTTATTGAACTCTGTTAATAAACAGCTCATTTTCTTGTTACTCAAGGTTCTGCATATAGTGTGATACAAAATTTGTATTTTTTGAACTTACTAAGTAATGAGCTAATTAATAGCTTCTTGGTGTCTTACATGTCAGTGTTTTCATACAGAGATAGCCTGATTTTCATCATATATAAACCAAGAAATTTAGAGTTATCTAAGTCATTATTAACTATTTACTTTGGCCATGATTAGCAATTGGAAAACCAGACAAACAAAAAATGTTGAAGCGCCTGCTTAGCTAGTTGTGCCATTTCACTAATCTGAAACTTTTTAAGTGGATCTCATTAAAACAAAACAACAATATCTCACATAGTAATTAATCTTTGGTGTGATTTATTTTGTTATTTTGCTTATGTATTGAACTTACCAGACACAAAGCTTAGTTATTAATAAGAATATAAGATACATCAAACCACTGTTGCATTAGGTGCATAGAAACTTTGAGAGGTCATCACATTATATGAATATGACTCCATACAAGAAACTTCGATTTGTAACGTCACACTTCATAATTTCAAATGCATAGTTTCTTGCATCAATTTTCAACATGCAAATTATATTTTCTTTTTCTACTATCATTAAAATCATTTTTAAAATATATTCTTCTTGAAGATAAGATACAAACTGCAAGACATAAAACATTTAAAATGATTTTAAGAAATTAATATTTATTTTAGGTTTCTTCTAAGTTACCTTAAAAGGAACTCTTTCATTGCTGCATCCACCTGCAAAAGCAAAACAGTTTCTCTGCCTTCATCTTCAAATATTAAACCCAAAAAAAAAGAGAGAAGAAAAAAAACTATAGCCGAGCTTACCGGAAATTGGTTATCAAAACTATTTTTACTTGGAATTGGTTTGGTTAATTAATACCGAATCGATTGCTTTATGACTGTCAACTGAAACGACGTCGTCATTATCCTTTAACCACACTTTATTTTTCTTTTCTTTTTTCCTCCAAAATTTATGAGTCGTCGTCTTCATTTCTGAGTTCAAAATCCTGAGAATTCTCTTTTTCTTCCATCACCAAGACGAGCGAAGATCTTGTTGAAGAGAGAGAGAATGGTGTTTCCCACTGACAACAGTTCACCAAGAAGCAACAAAAAAACCCGTCTTTTAAAACATTGTATCACCTCCATTGATGGATCTGAAGCTCCTCAAACTCGTTCAGCTCCTTCTCCTCTTTACTTAAAGTTGCTGCCTTTCAGTGTCTCCTTCAATGGGTGGAGAATTCCAAACAAAAATTTCAAGTCTTGGGCAAGAAAAATGGCTGCTTTACACGAACCCATTTGGAGAAAAGCTGGAATTTTCGAAGCCGTCATAGCATCCACATACAAAATCTATCAAAACACAGAGCTGGTTCTGGGTGTTGCTGAGAAATGGTGTCCTGACACCAAAACCTTTGTTTTCTCTTGGGGTGAAACAACCATTACACTTGAAGACGTTATGGTGCTTTTAGGTTTCTCTGTTTTGGGTTCACCGGTTTTTGCTACTCTGGATAGCTCAGGAGAGAGTATGAGGGAGAAGCTGGAGAACGAATGGAAGAAGGTTAAGAAAGATAATGGCAAATTTGTAACCCAAATAGCATGGATGGCGAGATTCATGGACAGTGGTGATGAGCTTGAGCATGTGGCTTTCTTAGTGTTGTGGCTTAGCTACTTTGTGTTTCCATCACGCTTTTATCATCTCTACAAAGCTAGTTTTCCAATTTCTGTTCATCTTTCTAGTGGTACTAGGATTGCTCTTGCTCCTGCTGTTCTTGCTCATTTGTATGCAGACCTAACTCTCTTGAAAAACCACACTAGAGGTTTCAACCAATCAACGATTACTGCCAAAATTGATCTCACTGCCTTGTTTAAGTTGGTTCAAGTTTGGACATGGGAAAGATTCAGGGAACTACAGCCAAAACCAAATCCGTTGCTAAAAGGTGAGCCAAGATTGACTCTCTGGCATGACCTGAAACAAAAAACCAGCGATGTGAGGCAGATTCTGGATAGCTCGAAAATCGACAGTTTTGAATGGCGTCCCTACACAAAAACTGTGAAAAACTGGGAATTTCCTCAGTTTTACCCTGAGAAAGAGATGTGGGTTTCTGTTTGTCCAAGTCTTGATGATGTATTCCTCTCCTTTGCTCGATGCATAAGGGTGTCTGAGCTTGTTGGAATTAACAAAGTGAAGCAATACTTTCCTAATCGAGTGACTTCACAGTTTGGGATGCTTCAGGATGTTCCTTGTCCTGCAAACCAGAAAAAACTCTCACAGGAGGCAGCTTGGAATGATTACAGTAAGCCGGTTGATGATTTGACATTATACATTCCTTCCCGTTGTGCACTACCTTGTGTTACTCCAAAGTTCTGCGAGTGGTGGAGGAAGTCGTTTCCTGGATTCAAGTTTTCTTCGGAAGAGAATGTGGTTGTTGAATCAGCTGAAACATTCAAAGAAAGAACCATCATAGGTGATGATGATAGTTTTATTCCTTCTGGCTCTATGATGAACAGAACAAGCGAGGATGGAATGAAGAAATATGAGGATTCGATAAACAAGAGACCCAAGTACATAAAACAAGCTCGTGAAAACGGTAATAATGAATCACCTGAACCATTGAAATCAAGCAACATCATAGGTGATATTTCTAGTTTTGTTATTTCAGGTCCTAAGATGAACAAAACAAGTAAGGATGCAATGAAGATAGCTGAGGTTTTTAACAAGAGACGCAAGTACATGAAGCGAGCTCGTGAGAATGATGAGATTACTATGGGTCGTTGTCATACACAGGTTCCTTCAGACAATGATGAAGTAGATGGTAGACTCACCATTGCTCAAATGGTGGGACCTAGTAAGAAGAAATATAGTGATGTTAAGAAAAGTAGACGAGATACATCTGAACCGCTTGATAAAAAATGTAGAGTTGAGGTGGATAACAATGATTCGGGGCCTTGTCAAAAGCTTGCTTCGATAAGTTATGATGGAGATGAGACTGTACCATCATCAGAAATAGAGCAAAAGAATGAAGCGACTGATGAAAGTGGAAGCAAAGCAGGTAAGAATGCTGTGTCACCACCAGAGAAAAGGAAAACATGTGATGATGAGCTTGATGTAAATGAAAGTAATGCAGATATGATCAATGATGGCAGCGAGCAACCAAAGTGTTTGCTGCTCCACGAAGATGGTATCATAGCAGGAGAAAAGGCGAGCTCAGAAGAGAAGTTATGCAGTGGTGAAGCTGAGAAGGAAGATGATGTAGTTGTTGATGACAGTTTGATGAACAACAATGAACCAGTCCCTCATCAACAGCATGCATCTGATGAAACAAGCAGTGCATATGAGAGTGGGGTTCTGAGCCCATCTGATGAGTCAAACATTGACATCGCTGTAGGGGAAGGAAGCCAGGGACGGGATTGTTTGCTTCATGGTAATGGCCTCGGAAGTGATGAAACCATGGAATCCAATGAGCAGTTAGAGGATTTAGAAAAGAGAAACAATGATTTTGGTGAAGGTGATGCTGGTAATGACTCCTACGAAAAGAGATTTCACGAGCTGAGGGTTCTGGCATTGTCGATAAAGGAGCGTATTATTAAGGCACAAAAAACTGTGGCATGGTTGAAAGAAAGGTGAGACTCACAACAGAGAAAATTAAATAGCAGCAGCTCGTTTTTGTCAAATGCAAGTAGAAATCAAAGATCAATCTCATCTATGTGATCTTTTGGTTTAGTATCTTTTTATTTATCTGCTTACTATCTTTTGAGGACTGGTTTCCTTTTAAGCGTTTCCTTTGTATCCTTCAAACTCACTTGTGAAGTTCTTGGTGTGTTGTAGATTAGAGTTTTCTAACAGAGATAGCTTCATCCTTAAAAGTAACTGCCTAATGTAAATCGCAGTTACATAAGGATGGTTTTTTGGGTTAAAATGTTGAGAGCCATTGAAAGCCTAAACCTTTTGATGCAAAACCAGCCTGCACAAATCTTCTGAGTCTGCAAGAACCATTGTCTCATGACAACAGTGAGAGCAGCTGCAATAACTGTATTACAAGACATTCAGAGAAACTGAAGAAACTGTGAGGTCTTATAAAGTTTTTTCTTGGATTAGTCCTCCTGTGTTCCATCAATAGTAGCACTAACCACTAAACAAGTAAATATATTTTGATTTATATAGTGTAGAGAATTTCAATTTTAATTAGAACATTATGACGGTAGAGAAGAGTTTAGTAAAGAGAAAACCAGAGGAAAAATGGAGTTTCTGGTTAGGATCTCATGGAAACAAAAGAACAATGTCACACGTATTAATCTTTTGATGTTATCTCTTTTGCTATTTTGCATATATAGAGAGCTTTAATAGAGACAAAGCTTTTGACTTCTCATAATTTTAGTTTTATACAGTAGTTCGGTTTGGTTTGAATATATAGACCGATCGGTTTATAAGAAATTTAAATGGTCAAATAAAGTCCATTCAGGTTCGAATTGGTACAAGCATACTGCAGTTTTTGCATATTTCAATTACCTTGAATAGTAGTGCTTAATTCCAGCAACTTATTTTCCTTAACTTTGATTCAAACTTTCATACACTTAACCAAAACAAATATGGGAAAAAGAACTAAAAATATTATATTTCGTCTTCTCTTCTCCAGAAATTGTTTCCCTCTGAAAACAGTCAATCGCAACAAAAACCCCATCTTTTAAAACCCTGTTTCAACCACCTCCATTGCCGGATCTGAAGCTATGCTTCCTTGTCAAAACCTTCCTCAATTAAATGCTCTGTCTTTCAGTGTTTCCTTCAATGGGTGGAGACTTGCAAACACAAATTTCAAGTCTTGGGCAAGAAAAATGGCGGCTTTACACGAACCCATTTGGAGAAAAGCTGGGATTTTTGAAGCAGTCATGGCATCCATATACAGAATCCGTAAAAACCCAGACCTTGTTCTGGGTGTTGCTGAGAAATGGTGTCCTGACACCAACACCTTCGTTTTCTCTTGGGGTGAAACAACCATAACACTTGAAGATGTTATGGTGCTTTTAGGTTTCTCTGTTTTGGGTTCACCGGTTTTTGCTGCTCTGGACAGCTCAGGAGAGAAGATTATGACGAATCTAAAGAAAGAATGGCTGAAGATTAAGAAAGATAAAGTCAGTTTTGTAACCCAAGTAGCATGGGTGGAGAGATTCATGAACAGTGGTGGTGAGCTTGAGCATGTGGCTTTCTTAGTGTTGTGGCTTAGCTACTTTGTGTTTCCATCAAGCTATTATCATATCTATGAAGCTATTTTGCCAATTGCTGTTCATCTTTCTAGTGGTACTAAGATTGCTCTTGCTCCTGCTGTTCTTGCACACTTGTATGCAGAGCTAAGTCTCTTGAAAAATCACATTGAAGATTTCAGAGAATCAACGATTACGGCTAGAATTGATCTCACTGCCTTGTTTAAGTTGGTTCAAGTTTGGACATGGGAAAGATTCAAGGAACTACAGCCAAAACCCAATCCGTTGCTGAAAGGTGAGCCAAGATTGGCTCTTTGGCACGACCTGAAACAGAGAACCAGCAATGCAGAGCAGATTCTGGAGAGCTCGAAAATCGACAGTTTTGAGTGGCGTCCCTACACAAAAACTATGGAAAGCTGGGAACTTCCTAAGTTTTACCCCGAGAAAGCGATATGGATTCCTGCTGGTCCCAATCTTGATGATGAATTTATCTCCTTTGTTCGATGCATTACGGTGTCTCAGCTTGTTGGAATTGACAATGTGGAGAATTACTTTCCCAATCGAGTGGCTTCTCAGTTTGGGATGCTTCAAGATGTTCCTTGTCCTATTAGTCAGAACAACCTCTCACATGAGGCTGCTTGGAATGATTACAATAAGCCTATTAATGATTTGGCATTATACATTCCTTCCCGTTTTGCAATACCTCGTGTTACTCCAACGTTTTGCGAATGGTGGAGGAAGTCGTTTCCAGAACTACAGTATTCTTCAGGTGATGAATCAGCTGAAAAATTGAAAGCAAGAAACATCATAGGTGATGATACTAGTTTTGTTCCTTCAGGGGTTGGAATCAAGATAACGGAGGAATCGACAAACAAGAGACACATATACATAAAGCAAGCTCGTGATAAGAGACTCAAGTACATGAAGCAAGCTCGTGAAAACGGTAACAACGAATCAGCTGAAACATTGAATTCAACAAACATCATAAGTAATGATACTAGTTTTGTTTTTGTTCTTTCAGGCTCTAAGATGAAGAGAACAAGCGAGGATGGCATGAGTATAGCTGAGGATTCAAACAAGAGACGCAAGTACATGAAGCAAGATCGTGAGAACGATAGTCGTTGTCAGGCACAGGAATCTTCAGAAGATGATAGTCTCACCATTGCTCAATTGCTGAAACTTAATAAGAAGTATAGTGGAGGAGATGCTTCTCAACCGCTTGGTAAAAAATGTATACTTGAGGCGCATAACAATGATTTTGTCCCTTGTCAAAAGCTTGTTTTTATAAAAGATGAAACTGTACAACCCCCAGAAATTGAGAAAAGGAATGAAGAGGCTGATGAAAGTGGATGCATAGCAGGAAAGAATACGGCTGTGAGCCCATTTGATAAAAACAACTCTTCAGATTCTCCCTTTGGTGCTAATGAAGGAGTAGTTGACATTGCTGAGAATGAAGATAATGTTGTTGATCATGATGACAGTTTGATCCAGAAAAAGGTTGCAATAGATGAGCTAGCAATAAAGCCAGACAACAATGAACCAATCCTTTGTCAAAAGCTTGCGTATGAGAGTAAGAGCCCATCAAATGAGTCAAACATTCACATTGCTGTAGCGGATGAAACTCATGGACAGGAACGTTTGCTTCATGATGATGGCCTTGGAAGTGAGGATTTAGAAAAGAGAAACGATGGTTCTGGTGAGGGTAATTCTGGTAATGACTCCGACGAAAAGAGATTTCAAACGCTAAAGGTGCTGGAATCATCAATGGAGGAACGTATTATCAAGGCACATAAAACTGTGGCATGGTTGATAGAACGGAAAAACATAAAAGAGAGACGACTAGCAGCAGCAGCTCGTTTGATCTAGGCGTGTTCGAGGTTGGTTTTGGGCAGTCAAATGCAAGTAGATTATCAAAGATCAATCTCACCTTTGTGATCTTTTGGTTTAGTATCTTTTTATTTTCCTTCTTAGTATCTTCTGAGGACTGGTTTGCTTTTAAGTGTTTCATTTGTATCTTTTGAAATCAGTTATGAGCTTCTTGGTGTGTTGCAGATCAGAATTTACTTAATATAGCTTCATCCTTAAATGGAATGAAGTGTAATAAATCATATGAACCAAGAAAATGGATGTATCAGGATTCAGGAGAGCTTAACGGTTACATTAGGAACTAATGTCGCAGAGATAGAGAAACCTTTTAAGACGTAGTTACAACAGCATCGCATACACCTTTCTGCAGATTTCTAAATCCACAAATTTATTTGATTAGACACAAAGCTTTTGTGTTTTTTTCCAAAATGCAAATAAACTTTTTATAAATCTGAGTTGTTTTCATTTTCTTAGTTTTTTTTTTTTGTGACCCTTAACATTATGCAGGGTTGAAGTTTTTTAAATTATGTTTTCAATGTAGAATGTGTGAGCAAATCCAAAGCAAGCTTATTCTAGCTGCTAAAAGAGATAAAAGAGATGATGTGAAGCAGATTCTGACAGCTCGAAAATGGACAGTTTTGAGTGGCGTCCCTACACAAAAACTGTGAAAAACTGGGAATTTTCTCAGTTTTACCCGGAGGAAGATATGTGTGTTCCAGTTTGTCCGAGTCTTGATGAAGAATTTATCTCCTTTGCTCGATGCATCAAAGTTTCTGAGCTTGTTGGCATTAAAAAAGTGGAGCATTACTTCCCAAATAGAGTGGCTACACAGTTTGGAATGCTTCAGGATGTTCCTTCTCCTGTTGACAGGAACAACCTCTCACGGGAGGCAGCTTGGAATGATTATGATAAGCCTATTGATGATTTGACATTACACATTTCTTCCCGTTCTGCAATACCTCGTGTTACTTCAACGTTCGGCGAATGGTGGAGAAAGTCGTATATAGAATTAATTCAGTATTCTTCTAAGGAGAAGGATGCTGATGAATCAGCTGAAACATTAAACATCATAGGTGATGATACTAGTTCAGGCTCAAGCAATGATGAAATGACTATAGCTGAGTATACAAATAAGAGACTCAAGTGCATTGAGGAATCTCGTGACAAGAGACGCAAGTGCATGAAACAAGCTCGTGAAATAGGTAACAATGAACCAGCTGGAACATTGAATTTAAGAAACATGGTAGGTGATCATAGTAGTTTTGTTCTTTCAGGCTCTAACGGAACAAGCAAGGATGAAATGAAGATAGCTGAGGATTCAAACAAGAGACGCAAGTATGTGATGCAAGATCGTAAGAACGATGAGATTACTATGGGTCTTTGTCAGAGTCTGCTACCTTCAGAAAATGATGTAGAAGTCCATAGTCTCACCATCGCTCAACCGCTGAGACTTAATAACAAGTATAGTGAAGGAGATGAACCGCTGGATTTAAACATTCCCATTTGCTGTATCTGATGAAACTCATGGACAGGATTGTTTGCTTCTTGATACTGGCCTTGGAAGTGAAGAAACTATGAAATCCAGTGAGGGTTTAGAAAAGAGAAACGATGGTTCTGGTGAGGGTAATGCTGGCAAGGACTCCTACGAAGAGAGATTTCAAAAGCTGAAGGTGCTGGCATCGTCGCTAGAAGAGCGTATGAATAAGACACAAAAAACTGTGGCATGGTTGATAGAACGGAAAACCATAAAAGAGAGAAAACCAGCAGCAGCTCGTTTGATCTAGGCGTGTTCGAGGTTGTTTTGGGTAGTCAAATGCAAGTGGGATATCAAAGATCAGTCTCACCTTTGTGATCTTTTGGTTTATTATCTTTTTATTTTTCTTCTTAGTATCTTTTGAGGACTGGTTTGCTTTTGAAGTGTTTCATTTATATCTTTTGAGGACTGGTTTGCTTTTAAGTATTTCATTTCTATCTTTGAACACAGTTATGAGTTTCTTGGTGTGTTGCAGCTCAGAGTTTTCTTACAGAGCTAGAGAGCTTTATCCTTAAATGGAACAGCCTGAGTCTTGAAACTAACGAAACCGTGAGGTCTTGTGAGGTTGGTGCTGTTTCCAGTTAATGGTTTTAAATGGTAACAGAACCACAATCCACTTTTAGGCATTAGTGGACATCAATATACTCAGATATACAGCTTAAAAGTCCAATAAAATATCACATTTCAGTTTTTATATATGAGCAATTAAATGCGACTTCAAGATTTTTTTCCATTTGAAACCACTATAGTCCAAGATCTATGGACAGCAAATTGTGAGTCAGGTTTCATCTTTGAAATTAGATTTAGCAACAAACAATAAGCTAATACCTTTTTAACATAGCTTCCCTAATTCTTAATTTGGACAACTTAATGAGACCGCAAGTTTTTGATTCGAACCAAAAATTGAATCAAGTGTTATGAATCAAGACTAAAGTAAGCTGGAATACACAATCACATACATATAAGCCTTAAAGTTTGCTCGTAGTTATATACTCTCATGACTAATCTTATACACTGTAGGTTCTATGTTACAAAAGGATGGTTTAATTTACAAAACGACTGGCTCTGATACCAGGTAGAATTGGATATTGAACTAACTTACTTTATTAAACCTTTACACAAGCGTTATATACACTAGGTTTGACAACAACCGACTATAACGTGAACCACACGTTACATGCCCAAACATATGGCCCAATTAGATACAAACTCTATCCTCAATAATGTCAAAAGCTTGCTTCGATAAAAACAGTGCTAGAGAGTGAAATGGATGATAGAACTGCAAGCAAACGACAAAAGTCAAGGGAAATTTGTGATGATTTTAGTTTTATGGTTCGGTTTGGTTTGAATATATAGACCGGTCGGTTTATAAGAACTTTAAATCAGTTTCTCTTTGATCAGTAGGGTCCATTCAGGTTTGAATCGGTTGCAAGCACACTTCAAATGCGCGCCCAACAGTTTTTGCATATCACAGTTGTTTTTTTTCTTCTTGCAGGCTCATAAGACATTTAAAAAGAATTTTGAGAGGATAAATTTTTATTTTATGTATAGTGATGAGACCTTTGTTTTTGTTATATTAGATGTTTTAAAGATTTGTTTTTCTGTTTCATTTGATTAACTTTTTACAAGTTTTTATGAAATAATTAAAGTTTATTTAGTTTGTTTTTTGTGACCATTAACATTATGCAGTATATAGTTTTTTAATCTTTGGGTGAATTTTTTAAAAGTATGTTTTTCATATAGACTGAAATAAAATATTTATAATTTAATGTTGAAGGATTTTTGAAAACTTTTAAAATTTTGTGATTCCATTGTTATTGGTTTTATGTATTCTTAGATTCTTAGTAAAACAATTGTTATCGGTCTGATGATTTTTAAATTATATTCAAAATTCTTTGTTATTCAAACTTTTTATTATTATTGATTTTGTAATTCTACTAAAACTTAGTGTTGCTACTTAGAACTTTGATTCTTTATAATTTTATTGATTATCGATGAGTTTGGTAAAGTTTTTTAACAAAACTTTTTTAAAAAAGAAAATCTCTACGAATTTAACAAATTAATGAACTATTGGAATCAACATAATTTATGGAAATTCAATTCTCACTATGCCTCCATAGTTTCTTAAATCTCCCGGTTTTACCCAAAACATCTAATAAATTCAAAGAAGAAATAATTTTTTTCCAATTAGGGCTGACGATCTATTAGCAATAGATCCACCCAAACTTTGGGTCTTGTTCTATTTCTCCATAAAAAAAGAGCTCTAAATTCATTTACACCGGAACTAAAACTTCGAAATCCCAGAAAACACAAATACGTCGGTTATATTGGTTACGACCTAAACTGGATACCAAACCACCTAAACCTGATACTAAACCAAGTTAACGAACTTTTAAAATATTAACAAATTCTGTGGAAAAACACTATTAACGAATTCTTAAATTTTTAGTCACTATGGAAAACCAAATTAATGAACTTTTAAAGTATCAATAAATTTTGTGAAAAACCAAATTAACGAACTTTTAAAGTATCATTAAATTTTGTGAAAACCCAAATTAACGAACTTTTAAAGTATCAATATGAAAAACCAAATTAACGAACTTTTAAAATATCAACAAACTTTGTAAAAATCCAAATTCACGAACTTTTAAAATATCAACAAACTCTATAAAAAAAAAACCAAATTAACGAACTTTCTCATGGTTTTTATCCAAAATATCTAATAAACTCAAAATGGAAATAGTTTATTTCCAATAATCTTATATAGTAGGAAATCTTATTTAATTTCCAGCTCATCATATCTGCAACATAATTTATTTGCCTTAACTTTTATTCAAACTTTCACACAATCAGCCAAAAACATATATGGAAAAAAGAATAAAATAGGTCTTTCTCTTTCATATTTCTTATCGAGAAATTTGTTTCCCTCTAAAAACAGTCAACCTAGCACCAACAAAAACACACGTCTCTTGAAACTCTGTTTTACCACCACACCTCCATTGAAGGATCTGAAGCTATGCTTCCTTGCCAAATTCCTTCCCCTCAAATCAATGCTCTGTCATCAAGTGTTTCCTTCAATGGGTGGAGATTTGCAAACCCGAGATTTAAGTTTTGGGCTAGAAAAATGGCTACTTTGCACGAAACCACCTGGAGAAAAGCTGGGATCTTTGAAGCAGTTAATGCATCCACATACAACATCAGCAAAAACACAGATCTCGTCCTCGATGTTGCTGAGAAATGGTGTCCTGATACTAACACCTTTGTTTTCCCTTGGGGTGAAGCAACCATAACCCTTGAAGACGTTATGGTGCTTTCAGGTCTCTCTGTTTTGGGTTCACCGGTTTTTGCTACTCTGGATAGCGCAGGAGAGATGATTATGGTGAAGCTAAAGAAAGAATGGCAGACGATTAAACGAATAGGTAAAGTCAGTCATGTAACACAACTGGCATGGACGGATAGATTCAAGAACAGTGGTGATGAGCTTGAGCATGTTGCTTTCCTTGTCTTGTGGCTTAGCTACTTTGTGTTTCCATCACGCTTCCATCATATCTGTGAGCCTATTTTGTCAATTGCTGTTCATCTTTCATGTGGGACTAGGATTGCTCTTGCTCCTGCTGTTCTTGCTCATGTGTATGCTGACTTAAGTCTCTTAAAAACCCACATCAGAGGCTTTAGCAAATCGTCTACTAGGGGCGAAATTGGTTTGAGTGCCTTGTTTAAGCTGGTTCAAGTTTGGACATGGGAGAGATTTAGGGAACTACAACCAAACCCTAATGAGTTGCTAGAAGGTAAGCCAAGAGTGGCTCTTTGGAATGACTTGAAACAGAAAACTAGCGACGCGAGGCAGATTCTGGTCAATTCGAAAATCGACAGTTTTGAGTGGCGTCCCTACACAAGAAGTGTGAAAAACTGGGATTTTCCTAAGTTTTACCCTGAGGAAGCGATGTGTGTTCGTGTTTGTCCGAGTCTTGATGAAGAATTTATCTCATTTGCTCGATGCATCAAAGTGTCTGAGCTTGTTGGAATTAGGAAAGTGGAGCATTACTTCCCCAATAGAGTGGCTTCACAGTTTGGAATGCTTCAGGATGTTCCTTCTCCTGTTGAAAGGAACAAGCTCTCACGAGAGGCAGCTTGGAAGGATTATGATAAGCCTATTGATGATTTGACATTACACATTCCTTCCCGTTCTGCAATACCTCGTGTGACTTCAACATTCTGCGAATGGTGGAGAAAGTCGTATCCAGAATTAATCCAGTATTCTTCTAAGGAGAAGGGTGTTGTTGTATCAGCTGAAACATTAAAAATCATAGGTGATGATACTAGTTCAGGCGTTAAGAGGAAGAGCACAAGCAAGGATGAAATGACTATAGCTGAGTATTCAAACAAGAGACTCAAGTGCATTGAGGAAGCTCGTGACAAGAGACGCAAGTACATGAAAAAACAAGCTCGTGAAATAGGTAACAATGAATCAGCTGGAATCTTGAATTAAGAAACATGGTAGGTGATCATAGTAGTTTTGTTCTTTCAGGCTCAAACGGAACAAGCAAGGATGAAATGAAGATAGCTGAGGATTCAAACAAGAGATGCAAGTACGTGATGCAAGATCGTAAGAACGATGGGAGTACTATGGGTCTTTGTCAGAGACAGGTACCTTCAGAAACTGATGAAGAAGTTGATAGTCTCACCATCGCTGAACTGCTGGATTTAAACATTCACATTGCTGTAGCTGATGAAACTCATGGACAGGGTCGTTTGCTTCTTGATAATGGCCTTGGAAGTAAAGAAACTATGAAATCCAGTGAGGATTTAGAAAAGGGAAACGATAGTTCTGGTGAGGGTAATGCTGGTAAGGACTCCTACGAAGAGAGATTTCAAAAGCTGAAGGTGCTGGTATCGTCGCTAGAAGAGCGTATGAATAAGACACAAAAAACTGTGGCATGGTTGATTGAACAGAAAACCGTAAAAGAGAGAAGACTAGCAGCAGCAGCTCGTTTGATCTAGGCGTGTTCGAGGTTGGTTTGGCAGTCAAATGCAAGTGGAGATTATCAAAGATCAATCTCACCTTTGTGACCTTTTGCTTTATTATCTTTTATTTTACCTTTTGAGAACTGGTTTGCTTTAAGTGTTTCATTGTATCTTTTGATGACTGGTTTGCTTTTTAAGTGTTTCATTTGTATCTTTTGAGGACTGGTTTGCTTTTAAGTGTTTCATTTGTATCTTTGAACACAGTTATGAGTTTCTTGGTTTCCTTATCGAGATAAACGCCTGATTTGATAAGGAAACCAAGATATTAATTATGCAAGTAGAATATCAAAGATCAATCTCACCTTTGTGATCTCTTGGTTTAGTATCTTTTTATGTTCCTGCTTAGTATCTTTTAAGAACTGGTTTGCTTTTAAGTGTGTTATAATTTATTTGTATCTTTTGAACAGAGTACTTATGATCTAATAGCTCCTTGGTGTGTGGCATATCAGAGTGTATATGGATCAGCTTGATTCGATCATATGAAAAATACAAATTAGATTTATGCAAGAGATTCTTACATTAGGAACTAAACATCACAGAGGCAGAAAAAACCATGTTCGCCTAGAGACCAAGATAAACAAACCTTTAGGGCGTAATCAAAACAGCTTTATTTACGCTATCCTGATTTGCAAATCGAAAATTCATATACCTTATTTCAACAATGGAGGAGATATAGTATGCCCCATCGACAACCGGAGTACATAACACTATCATTCAGCTTTCGGTGGTATGTGGTTGCCACCAGTCGCGATCTTGAATACATAGAAACAAGTCATGAGAGCACTGCAATATACACAGAACAAGGTATTTGGGTTAAAATGTTGAGAGAGTCATTGAAAGCCTAAACCTTTGGATGCAAAACAAAAGATAATCACCTGATTCCAGCAACCAAACCAGCCGGTATAATCTTCTGAGTTTGCAAGAAACGTTGTCCCATGACAAATGTGAGAGCAGCTGCAATGACTGTATTACAAGACATTCAGATTAGTTTTCATTGACTATATAGCCCCAAGATCTATGTATGGACAGTTAAATGTGAGTCAGTTTTCAGAGATCACAATTAGCAACAAACAATAAAGCTAATACCTTTTTTAACATAGCTTATCTAACTCTTAAGCTAGAGAGCTTACCATGATAAAACAAGTTCAACAAAGAAGCCAATAATTGTTCTGAATTTACCTAACTGGCTAACTTAGGTCTAAAGTTGTTAACTTTCTAATGTTGAAACTTGAAAGTCTATCACTTTTTGGAATACAATGCAAGTAAGAACTCGAATTCCAATGGAACTTGGAAAATCTAATCCCAGACCATGAAACAAACCTGTTTGGAGAAGAGTAGCGAGTGAGGAAGTCTTCTTCTTCTCGAAAGCTTTAAGGCTGATGAAACCAGCGAGAACGACAAGCAATCCAGTGCCTGCACCTCCGGCGAGAGATGCAATACTTCCTTTCTTCAGATATCCGATAAATCCTCCGACAATCAATAGCATCCCGTACGGGATAGTGAAGCAGAAATCGTGCATTCTCGAGCCGGGTTTTGATTTTCCGGGAAAATAGAATCTGGGTTTTTAGTTTCTCAGATGCATTTTATAGAGATCGTCTCCGATCAATTTATATAAGAAGTCAGCTTCGGCGATTCGATTCGATTCTTCGTCAATCAACTGCTCCCACTTTAGATCTCATGACTTCGTGACAATTACCATTATACCCTGCCTGTCTCGATAATGCTTAATTACAACTAAGTAGTATTAATACTTTAATTAATGTCATGAGGAATGTTAACACTCAATTTTAAATTACAACATTGTGGCGGGAGCGGGACGCATCTAAGTAAGAACCCTAGAAACTTAGAAAGCCACCGATTAATCGGAGTCGACTAGCCGAAGAATGCGCAGATACTCGTGATCTCAAACCTAATTTGAGGGAAAATAAAGAGTGATGAGGAGTAAACCAAGTTTTACTTAGTGGCTATCACTTATATCCATACGATCAACACAAAAAAAATTTAAACATAACAGCAATCGCATAAACTAAGCCTAAAACAAGCAGTCATCAAAATATTTAATAAAACATCACATATTTATCGTACTAGCATACTCATCACCATGAAAATATCATCACAACTCAATTTCATACTAACATCATGCAACCATCTATGTATATCACTAAGCCAAAATTCCATCAACTTACTTTTTAGAGACGAAACCTATCCCATAGTCCAATTACCATGCATGGATGCATGACATGATCTAGTTACGTTAGGTTATAATCCAATCACATAACATATCATCGATACATGTTCATATCACATATATATATTATCTCACATAATCACCCAGTACGTATATCATCACTAATCATCATGTCGTCATGCATTAACACATCATCAACATCAAACATCATATTCACTAATCGATTATGGACCCATCTTTTTACATCGTACTTTAGGTTCAATTGAACGGAAACTTTTTATTTTATTACCGATTCAATGAAAACAAAGGAGGTTTAAAATTACATTCGGGTGGTATGAAATTTGATTATGTTAGTTTCTGTAGTAAAAACAAGAGAATATATATAGCATTAGCCTCAAGGCTTGATTCGATTCTTTTTTTTTTTTTTTTTTGTCGTCAAAAAAATTGTATTAAAATAGTAACATGATCGTGCACCAAATAAAACAGAGTATTAAGAGCCTCAACAAAACAGAGCAACATTGCTCAATAGGAGACCGAAATTAAACTTGAAAATTTGTAAACAGATGAAACTTTATCTTCGTTTATCTTTTTCGATACGCGAATGCAGCCATGCCAGACCTCCAATGGCAAGGTATGATCTGAGGCGTCCATCACGTGTAACACTCTTAGCAATATCTCTTGCAATTGAATTCGCTTTAGGGGACGCAAGCTTAAAGAACACTTTACGAAAACCCGGAATAAGGCGAGAAATCTTGTCAAGGTAAGAATGGTACCGGGGCCAATTAAGTGGGTCCGTAACCGCCTCAATCGCAGCCGCACAATCCTACCAAATCTCAATGTCCTCGAAATGTAAGTCTTGTAAACTTTGAAGTGCCCACAAAAAACATCTTAACTCTGAGGCTATCCTATTAGAAGTGGGTAGAAAAGCTTCCCTCGCATGAAAGACAGCATCTCCATTGTGATTCCGCACGATCCATGAGCCACCACACATACTCATTTCATTACTCCATGATGCATGAACATTGCATTTAAACACATTAAGTGGTGGTCTCAACCATCTTACTTCAGCTCGAGGGGGACGATGGACTTGAACATGGGGACCAGACGGCTCTAGTATTAACTTGTTCCATATCTCTGATTCCTCGATAGCATGGTCAACAAGGACGTTTAGGTCACCATGTTTCCCTGCGTGAACAACTTCGTGAACAAACTTGATTCGATTCTTGGCCGCATTTTGTTGTCTCATGTATTTCTAAGTCGTCTATATATTTCGTACATATTTTTAATTGTTATTAGGAAAGTTCATATTTGTGTACATTTTCTTGTTACTAAATAGTTAAATTTCTTATTTAGTAACAATGAAATATATACAATAACCACATATCATGACTTTAGTAAATTATAGATTTAGAAATAATGGTAAACTTCCTAAGTTAACATATTGACATTCTTCTAGATCCTTTCTTATTCTTATATAACCATATCTTCATGATTTTCATAATCTCGACCAGTCATCTTGACCGTTCGATTTCATCAATCTCACATTTAATACAAATGAAACTTTATTACCAAGTAATTTATAATTATATATATGTGGGTAAGGATCTAGTCTAATAGAGGTACATACAACGCAAAGATCCTTAAAAAGTCCATTAGCCCCAATATTGTTTTCAGATTTCAAGAAACATGGGTTTCTTCTCGAAGCTTTTTAGTTGTTTCACGAAGCCATCTTCAAAGAAAGGTTCATGCAAAGGTGGTGTCTGTGTTCTTAAGAAGCCTAAATAACATGGATGAGTTTGCTACTATATATGTAGTAGTAGGCAAAAAGTTCTTATTATTATTATTATTATTTTCTTTTCGATATTAATGTTTCTCTTTTCATATTATTAATTTGCACTTGATATTTTAAGTTAATTTGAAGATAAACATGCTATATGCTTTTTCTTTTTAGTTTGATTATGTTGGTTTCTATAGTAAAAGCAAAAGAATGAAGATCGTGTGGAATGAATTTTGATCGCAAGACTTTATTATACGGATGTTAACCCATGATTTAATAATAACTCATTTAATATTAAACCAAAAAAAAAAAAAAACTCATTTAATAGTTCATAGTTTTATTTTATAAAATTTAAACCAATTAATGGAGCTCGTAGTTTAACCGGAGTCTTCATCTTCTTCCTCTTCTTCACCTTGGAGCGACTTAAAAAGCAACGATGGAACCAGAAAATTGGTTACCAAATACATGGAGATCATTGCTCCACTGCAACAAGTACAATAAATCAACACAAATAACTACTTTAATTTCCCAATAATAATAATACTAATAAGCTATAATCTTCGAATTTTTTTCCTTTTTTTTGATAAAAAAATTAAAAGAAATGGGGATTAGAGAAAGACCTAACGAGGAGGAAGGTAGTGATATCACCAGACTCAGAAGGAGGAACCATACTCGCTTTTGGTTTTAATCTGAACCCATTTTTAGGATAATTACTGATTTTCCATTGTTGTTTGCTGCTTAAGCTTGAAGGAGATGAGGATAAGAAGAAGAGCACTTGTTTTCTTCTCAGACTCTCTTCTTGCTTCGCCTGCCGATTCAACACGATGGAACTGGCAGGTAATGGCTGATGGTAACATGCACACCACATTTTTCAGACTCAAACTTTCTCTCTTTTTCGTTAAAATTTTGACCCCCCAAAAAAAAAAAATTCGTTATCTAGACTCCTGTCAAAATTGGTGAAGATAGGCTTTTTGCCAATCTTGTGTAGACACGTCACCATGTATCTAATGATTTTGTTTTGGAGTCAAATAAGATTAAAAAGGAACCCCAAGTTTTCCTAGAATATTATCTTCATCCTCTTATTTTTCTTTAGCTTATGACAAGATATGCATTAATAATCATCCTATATACAATATGATTAGCGTTTTGAAAAGACTTACTCATTAAAAACCTGGGCAAAGCAATTGGAGATTAACAAACTACGAGCACTATAATAAAAGTTGCAAACCGATTCAACACGATGGAACTGGCAGGTAATGTTTATTGTTGTTATGTGTGTTATGTATGCTTTCGTTAATGTTGCAACGAATGGGACTTCATTGTTTACAAAATCATAAATGGTTAAGAAGCTGGATATTATTCTACACTCATTAGCAGCTGTATTATGAGTGTTGCCTTTGGTCAAATCAAGTTTATAAAAGTAACAATAAAGATGACATTCCTTTAATTAGAAAATATGAATTTATACAATACTCAAAAACTATATCAAGTCATTTTCCCATTTCCTTGTTCTTGTTATGGACACAAATACAATACCCAGTTCAGTACAAAAGAGTAATTGACTGGATCCAAATTCAACAATCTCACAAGCTTTGTTGCCACCACATTTGGGATCAGATAATGTAACATTCACTCGGTGTATCATAGTTGGAGTGATTTCTTAGTCGATTCAATGTACCTGTCGTTGGCACCCAAACAACCTTTTGCTGTTTCCAGCAGTCTCAAGCAAAGTTCTGTGACTTTCTCATTCATCTGCACATCATCAAACATGTCACCAACCCAAGTTAATACAACTTTTAACTTATCAGGAATGAGAAAATATGCAAAACTTGGGAGAAACAGTACAACTAGTGCTAATGATATGCAATTGCAAGCTTCAATGGCCATATTCCCCCGAGCAATCTGCAATTATATAACCTCATGTTAGTTAGAGAAACAAATATACTTAGAATGTTTTATACTAGTGGTAGTAATTTTACCTGTGAAGACTCTTGCTCAATAGCATCTAATAGCTCACTTAGAACGAACTGACTACATGAGACAAGTTCCTGCTTGTATGATGAATCACCAAAGAACAACAAATCATTTCCAATTATCTGCACAAAGAGTAAGTATAACCCAAAGTTTAGCTTATAAATCCAGCCATCAGAAAACTTATCCAGACCAAGGAATTTCGACAATTGAAATTTTTTTTTGCTTCCATTAAGATGATGAGAGGCATATAAATACCTCTGGATTGGCAGAATGGTAAGGCAGATTGTCCTGAGAAAGTGTTGACAACAGTGACATTATAGCACAGAATATCTTCACCTTTAATCTCGGCGTTGCCCTACAACAACACGAAATGTCACACAACCGCAATTACATAAGGGACAGTTAAATTTAGAGATAAGAAAGAGGGCATTAGAACAGCAGAAAAACAAGAGAATACATGTTCATATCCACAGGTAGGTAAGTACTAAGTCCTTGAGATATGCATACCATGAACTAGAGCAAGTAGCAGAGAAGATACTTTTAAGGATCTCCATCACGCCTTTCTCGGGATTACCTTTCCAAATGAATATACGGTTAAAATTCAGTTATGAAGCTCTGAAGAAATAAGGAGAACAAAAGCAATTTGGTGACAGAGAGTCACATCTATATTGCTGAGCAAAAACTATCCAACAGATTCCACGATATTTACCTGGGACCATTACCAAGAGGCTGCACAATTTGCATACAACCGAGGCCATACTATCTACGTCAATTAATTTTAAACCTGATAGAGAAAAATGTACAAGATATTATACCATCAACGATTCAACATATCTGATGCATGTTCATTTAAGGCATATACATTTATCTAGAGAGAAAATAAAAAGCCCTAAAGAACAACTGAAAATGGAAAAAAATGAAGCCTACAAAGCTAGAGTGACGAAGAACAAAGATAATCGTCTATACTTCAAAAAACTTCACAAGTAAAAGTGTATGCATGCCACCGACCTTAGGATCATCACTACAAAATTTAAAGGAAGTGTTCTCTTTGCAGTAACTGGTTTTAGGGTGGCAAGATATGTCAGACTAGTTTTATTACTTCTCACTTATTAATTTAGTATTCAGTAGTTAAATTGAACATTTCTAGACTCACCATCTGTTACCGCTACATTCTCTAGATACTCAACAGCTGACATGACCAGTCCATCTGAATGAGAAATCAAACCACCTAAAAGTGCAACCTATAAAACAAACTTCAGTACGTATATTACTTCGAAGTTTGAGTGTTAAGGACTGAAAAAGATAAAACATCACCTCTGCAGTTTCAAGATAAAGATTTAAGTGTTTCGTGGGAGATGAAATAGAGGGGATGGTCACTTCGCTAAATGCTAGGCAAGATTTTACAAAGTTGGTATGCTTCTTTCCTGCTTTCAGTGCTTTTACTGCTAAGGTGTTGCTTGAACGGACAAGTGTTTCCTGCAGCCAGTGACCATAAGCAGGAAAAATGATCACAACATCGAGCCAATCAAAATGTTTAATAATTTTTGTTTGTGTCAAGCTCTAATGGAAATAAACGAAAAATAAAACACCCATAGCAATAAAAATTAGTATGTGGGAAGCATTTATTGCTCTTGTTCCCTTTCTATACTCGATATATAATACTATTCTATGTACTCCTCTCTTCTTATTATATGTTCTTCTTCTCATAAATGTACCATATAATATTTAGCCAAATTTTGCGGTAATTTATAGAGTTGTTACCAAATTCACGTTACGTTTCAAACTCTATTATGTATAACTTGGATCATGCACCAGATGGCAGAGACATTGCTGCTTGGCCCTCAAATTCAAGGCTAAGTATTGGTCATGACCAAGCAAGAAAGGACTAGATAAATAGCAATGCACCATAGTTAAATGATTACCAGATAATCAAACTCTTTTTAAAGAGTACAAGAGTGCACAAGTGCCACAAGACTGGAACTATACAGGGTCATCCACAGGTATAGCAGTATTAAAAGTACTGATACCAAAGAACAATTAACTTTTTGCTGACCTTAAGTTCATGTATCCCATTAAAGGCCTCACGACACTCCGCCAAAAACATCAAATGGCGTTCCATTTCTGCCCCATAGTCAACCTAAGCATTAAAAATGAACTCAAAATCAACTAACTTGACAAAAAGAGCAAGTACTCACTGATTTTGTAATAATGTAAGTGGAACTTAAGGTACCATCTCAACAAAACGAGAAATTAAATGTGATGTCTGTCTATTGTCATCATCCTTTATGTGAACGAAATCTGTAGCATCATAAAGAGCCTGAGAAACTTCAAAAAGAAATTGCACTGTTGTTGAATCACAAATGCAGCCATTCCTGCTCCAAGGGAAAAGAAACATGTATACTTTAATCAAGAAAAAGGAAACTCAATATATAAACTTAAGGATCACAACTATATATACAAATCATGTAAATTAACGTTCATCAACTTGACAGTCGTCTATGTGCTCCATCCAGTAAGTCTGAGATTTTTAATTCATATTTAGAACGATGGAAAAAACGAACAAGCCTTACCTTGTACCCATGTTAAGAAGATGCATGTTTACACTGCTCTTTGAAGTCCCAGACATAAGATCCAGAATCTCGATGAAATGATTCTAGAAGGTAACCAAAGAAATTGTTTAGCAACACTAGATAATGATGCCATCCAAAGGAATAGACAACGGCTCAATTTGGATGCTGCTTTTTGTTTCCTGGAAGCCTGAAAGTAGATAAAGGAAAGAGTGAAGAAAGTATTACCAGAGGAAGTACTTCTTGCAAGTTCTCGAAATGAGCGAGCAGCTTCAAAATTATGGATTGCAAACTTGCTTGTTCTTCTTCACAAAGAAACTTGTCACGAGCTAGATTTACAATATCATCCAAGAGAGCATCCAGATGATTTTCCTGAATCCATTAAAACTAATAAATAAAATCTCAAGAAATAAGATCAGAGAATTCTAATGACTACGAAAGCACTTCAGCCTCACCATCTTGTTCTGCAACATAAGATCCACATATGCGTCCATAATTCTTAAGTAGTCATACAGTGACTGATACTGAGAAGCGGCCTGTTACAATAGTTACATCTAAATATCAGCCTGTTGCAATAGTCATGTCACCTTTCTCTTTACAAATAGCTTTTGTTGACATATAAAATGTCAGTACGTCACCAACAGCGCAGGCACAAAAAGATTGATAAATCCATAAGAATGAATTCCTAATTTTGTTGAACGAAAAAGGAAACACCAAAACCTGAATAACTTCATCAATGAGTGAACTGAGAAAACCTTCTTGAGATTTCCCTTCAGACAGTTTATTTCCCAATAACCTATAATTCAAAACCTGCTTGACAAAGCAGTACAACATAACAGGAAGGGTTAGACTCAATGGATTGTATATTTTATTTAATCTGAGATGAGGAAATAACCTGACTAAAGGAACAATCATTGCTGCATTTAATCATATCCAGGATCTCCGTAGTTAGTGAAATAACTAATTCAGATGGAAGTTCCTTGAGTAGATGATGAAGTAAAATGGACACATGCGAAGAGTTGCAAGATGACTGAAATTTGTTCCTTCCAAATCCAAGCTCCTCAAGCATGCTCAAGACATTGTTCTCCTGTAGACTAACCAAATTTTAGGATAACAATCATTCATCACAATTCACAAATCACGGAAAGGATAAACAAGGTCTGCCAGACATTTTTTGCCTCAGCAACGAAACATAATGCAAAACAACTTATATAAGTGATTACTGAAGCTCATTGCCTCATTGAGAATGGGAAAAAAAATAGGTGGACCAAAAGCTTTAGTCACTAACTGGTCAAGAACAGTTACTAACCTGACGTCCAGTTAGAAATAAGCATTTCACTATATACTCGATGGCTGGTTCCATCAAACTAAAAAGCAACTTTTTGTCGTCTGTAAT